CTCAATTAAGCCTTCGCTAATTTTAGTTGCAAAACCATTTTTATCATGTGTCCTTTACGTAATTTAGTTTTAGAAGCCGTAGTCTCGTATATTCAATAGCTTATTTAAATAACCACCAAAGTGTAACAAAAAAAAGAAACACGTCTTTAAGATCACTTTTTTATGTACTTTCCGAATATCGTATCGGAATTTCAAAAAAATATATACAGTGTTGTTTTCTAGACTTGCACAAAAAATTAACAATTTTTGCAGTCCGGATCTGGATTTTTTTTGCTGTCATACATGAATACATGAAGTATCGTGTGTGCATTAATCCTACCCAATATGAACCCATTATTCCATTCCCTACCAAAGTTATGACATAAAGCAGTTTTGACCAAAAATCATAAATCACCCTGTATCTCAATAAAGAATGGCCAAGAAGTTATTTCTATAGGTGATCCTAGTTACTAGATATCCTCTATCTCCCATTAAGCCATGTCCCTCTCGTGATGCAACACCCTGTATATTACAATATACATAGTAATAATGACATACTCTGCCAAACTTTAATGGTAGATTATATGTCATAAATCAATAAAAAAAAGTTTTTATAAACATTATAATTATAAAAAAATATATCATATAGCTCAAAAATGGCTCGTTTGTATATTAGCCAAAACTAAATGCACTTATCCAATTTCCAAAATATTCAGTAGCATTGAAATTGTAGGATTCTTAGTGCCAATGTTTCCCAGTCTGGGATCTGGAATTGTGGAAGCTACAGCACTTAGGTCCCTTGTACTTCCTCCCATTAGGAGATCAATTCATCTGAGCCGCTAACCAACCTAATAAAAGGAAAAAGATGGTGACATTGGTCAGGAGGATCTCTCTAATATAGAGCATAAAAGGCCAACGTTCTCTCAACACGGATTCTCTTGTTGACGAGACAACAGTGCATTCATATAGCACATGTAGTGTTGTCTCGTGTTCCTGTTCACAACCCCTACAAAGAAGTGTTTCACACTTCCTCCTATAATGAAGGAGTTTCCTTAACCAACAGTGTCCAGTTTGAATACCTGCCACTGGTCGAAGATTGGCATAGACATAGCCAGGTATTTTTTGGCTGTATCCTTGCTAGGGTATTCTAAGAATTGAATTGAAGTGCTGATAGTGGAAGCACACTGGAGGGACCGGGTCCAAAAGTATTGAGGCCCGATGCACTCCTGGCTAGCTTGTCAGCTTCTTTATTGCCATTGCACCAATCATGTTCCTTGACCCAGCATACAGATATTCTGTTGGTGTTTCCCAGTATCTCCACATGATGGAGAGAAAACTTGCTGAGAAGGAGAGAACCAGTGTCAACAGATTTTTGTACCATCTCAGGAAATTTTTGCTCACAATTAATTAGCATTAACCCAAGTTTGACCAATCTACACCAAGCATCTTAAAAGATATTTGATTAGATATACAGGGTGTATCTTAAGTGATGACTTTAATTTCAAGGGGTGATTCCTTGTCATATTTTAAGCAAAAAAGTACATATGAACATCGGTCCGCAAGTGCTTCGTTACCGAGATACAGGGTGTCAAAGTTGGGAAAATAAATCGCATTTTCTTAAATATCTTTCGACTGATTCAAAATAATTTAATGAAATTTCATACACAGTGGTTTTTTGGAATGACAAATTCAAAGCTGTGGTCAATTTAGATGTATTTTTTTGAGGGCGCCAATAATGAAGTAGCTAGGAACAACCGTTTCCATGAAAAACGCATTTAAACTTACTTGAGCTGGAAATATCATAAAAATTGAATTAAATCAAATGCTCAAAATGAGAACCGCCACTGTCAATACAAGCATGTAATCTTCTGCTCATCGACTGTCGCACACGTTCCAAAATTCCTGGAGTGTTGCGTATGACATTACAAGAATTTACAATTCTGTTTCTTAAATCATTTTCATCTACAACTGGCATTGCATATAAACAAGCGACTTCAGATGTCCCCAAAAGAAATAGTCCAGAGGATTTAGGTCTGGAGATCGTGCTGGCTATAGCTGAGGTCTTCCCCGACCTATCCATCGTTGAGCAAAAGTGTCATTAAGATGTTGGCGAGCAGCAAGACTGAAATGAGCAGGTGCCCCATCGTGCATAAACCACATGTCATTTCTGGTTGCTAGTAGTACATCTTCTAACAGACCAGGCAATGTTTCCGCTAGAAACTGTCTGTAAGTCTCACCATTCAGTCGAGGAGGAAGAAAATGCGGTCCGATGACATGATCACCAATAACTCCGGCCCACACATTCACGGAAAACTGCTGCTGAAATCCACGTTCTCCAATAACATGGGGATTTTCATAGTTCCAAAAATGATTATTGTGGAAGTTTATGATGGCATCCCGTGAAAAAGTTGCCTCACCTGTGAACAGAATTTTAGACGTAAAGTTGGGATTCTGCCCAGTTTTTTGGAGAAACCATCGACAATAATCTAACCGTGCAGGAAAATCTCTTGGCAACAGTGGTTGCACGCGTTGAATGTGGTACGGATAAAGTAAATTTGTGTGCAAAACCCTCCAAACACTTTGGTGACTTATGTTAAACTGTTCAGATAATCTTCGCGTACTACTTGACGGATTAGCTTCCACTTCTTGTAGGATTGCTTCTTCTAGTTGTGGTGTCATTATTGTTCTCGGTCTACCAATACGTTCAGCGTGAGCATTTAAAGATCCAGTTTCGCACAGTCTAGCATGGAGCCTTATGAAAATTCTTTCTGATGGAAGTGGTCTATTGGGAAATCATTCCTGGTAAATTCGACGGGCTTGTGCAGCATTTCCATCTGCTAGTCCATAAATGAAATGTATTTGAGCTTGTTCAACGTTATTCATAGTTAACTGCACACTAAAAGATACTGACAGTATCTTGTCACTTTTAATGCCAAATATCATCGGAATTTTGTTATCACAGGAATTTTTGTATTCAACAAAAAAACATTTCTTTAAAATCTTTTTTAAGTAGATAAGGTAGGAGAATTGATTATTCTAGTCCAAAATGGCACACAGGGTAGCAGAAAAAAGTTGCGATGGATTAAAGAGGCCGAAATCGTTGCCGGTGGCGCCCTCAAAAAAATACACCAACTTTGACACCCTGTATCTCGGTAACGAAGCACTTGCGGACCGATGTTCATATGTACTTTTTTGCTTAAAATATGACAAGGAATCACCCCTTGAAATTAAAGTCATCACTTAAGATACACCCTGTATATCAGACATTTCACGTCAACGGGCACAGTGGGCTGCTCAAAATAAAAAGGCATCGATATTAATGTTCGACGTGTCAAAAGCTTCATATTTAAAAACTCTATCGAAAGCCATCTGGTAATTTCAAAAAAACATCATGGTGGTTCCAATATGGCGTCTGCAATCATAGAATACTGTTTAATAAGTAATATTGATAGATAAGAAATATATAAATATCGTATTATAGACTGAATCACCATATCTATACATTTTTGGGGTTGCTAATTTCGAATTCAATGTCTGTTAAACCCCATCTGGTCACTATTCGTCCTTAACCTTAAAAATATTTCAAATCGTTGAAATAGTACTTTTCTACGATGTTAGTCTAACCAGCACAGTTTATGTTTTCCGGATAGCTGAAACCATTTCTGATATCCATCCATATAACTTCAGCTATACTCTAACCAATATGTTTGAATAGGGCAAAGTCCAACAAATTTAGCAGTATCGGTCTGAAACATATGCAGGGACGATTTTCTTTTCTGAAAGGGTCAAATACGGTAGTATTAGTTACCCTTTAATATGATGGATATTTTAAAAATCTACTAAACGACATTAAAAATACTCGCGAATTTACCTACACCAACGACCATGCCGTTAAAAGAATTTCAACTGAACTGCCGGTAATGAGCCAACAACAAAGTTAAATTTATGTACATAAAACGAGTTAATAAAAGATAGCTAGAACAGATGGATCGCCGGGTTGGTGACGTTGCCACTCATTTAGTACATAAAGTACAATAATAAATGAACAAGTCGAAACATATTTTATTAAAAGAATTTTTGTATATTTGGCATATAAATAACAAACATGTTTTTATAGTAAAACACATTTAACATAGATGTAGCAAATTATTTATGCCTACAATATTATTCGTTTAATGCTAAGAACTTGCCGTGTGTCTTACTAATACTAATCCTCAATAGGCTTTACAAATTTTTTCTTTAAATAATGTTATATTTTAGTAGTACCGAATTATTTTAGATAAGATAAGGAAATTTAAGAATTTAATGTGACAACAATGTTTCTCGCTTGTAGTGGACTTTGCCCTATTCAAACATATTGGTTAGAGTATAGCATTGTTTTTAAAAGACAAGTTAAACAACCTTGGTTAGTTCTCTTCAATGAAATCCAGAGGGCAGTGCTAGGGAAGTGTGTTTATTCATAAATATCTATGTGCTTTTACGTTAGAGCATTGTTTTTAGAAGAAAACAATGATTATACAATGTTCTACCGTAAAACCAGATAGATATTTACATTTATTTATGAATAAACACGCTTCATTAGCACGCCATCTGGATTTCACTGAAGAGAACTAACCAAGGTTGTTTATAATTTATCTTCTAAAAACAATGAGTATAGTCAGAATTCGTACCTAATTTCAATTGTTTACCAGTGCACCAGAGACTTTTTGAAAGATAGTAGCACTTGAGTGTTGATATGCAATATTTCGTGTTTTTATGTTTATCTTCAGGCGCCATATTGAAACTACCACGGGAGGGTTAGAGAAGTGATACAGTTTGAGGGTAACTTTTGTAAATAACAGATCAATTGGACATAACAATCAACTTTAATTTCTTTACCTGTAATAGATTATTTAAGTGATTTTGGTGATATTGTGATCAGACTATAACTCACCCAGAAAAAGTGTCATTTTAGTGATTTGGAATATTTTTTGCGGTTAGGGACGACTAGCAACAAGTTGGGTTCAAACGGATGTAGGAATTCGATTCAGTGATCCTAAAAATATAAAGATACGTTGGTTACACTTCAGTCCTAAACGTAGAAAAGTGTAATATTAGCAATTTGCGCTATATTTTTGAGGTTAGGTACAAACTCTGACTAGTTGAAGTTATATGGATATCAAAATTGGTTTTAGCTATCCCGAAAATATAAATTGTGGTGGTTATTACTATTATTATTATTATTACTCTTTGTAGAAAAGTGTTATTTCAACGATTTGAAATATATTCATGGCTATAGGGACAAACAGCGACCAGATCAGGTTTAAGAAACATTGAATTTGAAATCAGCAACCTCAAAAACATATAACGGACAGGCGGTTCACATGAAAAGTAGATACGTCATGCTGTGGAACTGCCGTTAGTGGTCGGCCCACGAGAAAATGAGCAGGAGTTAAGGGACTTAGATCTTCGGACGAATTAGAAATTGCAGTCAACGGTCTAGAATTAAGGATTGCCTCTACTTGAACTAAAATCGTATAAAACTGCTCAAAATTAAAATAGACGTCCTTTAAAGTTCGCTTTAAATGAAACTTTACACTTTTAACCCCTGCCTCCCATAATATATGGTGATTCGGTCTACAATACAGTATTTTTATGTTTCTTATCTGTCAATATTACTCATTAAACAGAATTTTCCACGATTGCGGATGCCATATTGGAACCGCCATGATGTTTTTTTCTTTAAATCACCAGACGGCTTTCGAAAGAGTTTTTAAATATGAAGCTTTTGACTCATCGAAATCAATATTGATGACTTTTTATTCTGGGCAGACCACTGCGCCCGTTGACTTGAAACGTCCGATAAATCTTTTACATTTCAACATCCTGTATACTGGAAATGAAATATTCTGGACACATCTTTATAAGAATCTTTTTTATTGATTTATAGTGTAGAATCTACCATTAATGTTTGGCAGAGTATGTTATCAATAAACACTGTATATTTTAAAAATAAAATAAATTACTTACTTGGCTAACTTTATTAAAGCTGTCCCTTCAACGTCTCCTAAATTGCATGCTTTATAATAGCATTTTAATGCATTTTCAGTCTTATCTAATTTCTCGTATGCTTCACCTAAAGCTATTACCATCCTACTATCATTAGGCTTTAGCTGTTGCGCTTGTTTATAATAGTGTAAACAGTAATTTGGCATTTTAAGTATTTCATATGTCTGCCCCAAACCATACCAAGCTCTATAGTCTCTTGCATTTATTTCTTAAAATTAAACAGTAATAAAATTATAGACTTAAAACACTTGAAACTGTTTCATTGGTAGAAGCAATATTAAAATATTGTACATACATTGTACGTTTGTACAATACAATTGATAAATTCATTATCAAAGTAATGTCTTAAAAGAGTGCTCTGAGCACGTTGATTTTTATTTTTAAAGGCAAGTCTTTTGGTGCTAATAATACATTTATATATAACATACCATATATTACTCACTTCTGAAAGATTGCTAATTATTTATTAAACAACAAATGAATATTTCATATATGGTACGTACAATGCAACATATTTTTTAATTTTTTTTTTATTAGGTACCTACTAGCTCTAGAAAAATAAATTAGATGAATAGATGATAATAGATGAATAGTCACGTTACATTCCTATGACTGTAGCACAGCATGTAAACCAGCAGCCACTGATAAAAGTATAATTTTAATACACATAATAATACTAAAATTATTAATTTGAAGAATTAATCATAGTTTTATTACTACTTCACAATCTTTCTCTAACCACCCAAGGCAGACAAAATTTTAAACAGTTGCTGTAACATCGGGTAAGTATGTCAAATTATTTTATTAATTATAACCACAAATTAATTTTATTAATTAATAATAACAATAGCGGCAAAAGCAGTTAAATTTGCTGATATAAAATAGGTGTTATAACATTTTATTTATTTCCTTAGGAAAGAAATTCTTTCTTATTTATTTTTTGTTCGTCCGTTTTTTTATTACACTTTGCCGCCATGCCGGTCACCGACTGCATGCTTTACCTTGCAGGTTTTACAGTGGATCAGTTTCCAGTGCTGTGCAAAAGTGTATTTTTAAATCATTTTCAAACTGCCCTTTTTTTATAAAATTGTATTTGCAAGTCATAGTCATAATACAAATTCTGAATCACCCTGTATAATTCCAAGATGAACTCTCTTGTGCAGAAAATACGGCTGGAAATGTTTCATTGTAAAAACTATTATGCAATGTATTGTGGAAATCATATAGAAAACATTTTATTTTAAAAATATATTGCAAATGTCAGTAAAATATTTTAATTATCATATATACCTATGTTTTAGATAACATATTTAGTTATGTTTTTAGAGAGGCCACAGACAAAATAGCTATCGCCACAGACCGCTACTGGAATAGGCCAGCAGTTTTAAATTTCCGAATTGCCGGTAGAGTATACCACCAGCAGAATTTTAGGAAGAATCAAATACAGCGGCCCGCATACCTACGCGTATCCTAGCAAGATATAAACAAGATTTTGGTAATGTTGCCAGGCGTACTTACGGATTTCTTTTGTACACTTTTTATCAATATCTGTTTTTTGCGTTAGGTACTGTATTTACTTAAATGTATGATGTAGGTACTGATAAAAATGTTTTTAAAGAATCAACGAATATCTATTGTAGTTTCATATGATATTCTGCAGCGGTGTTACAATTAAGTTATTTAATCATAATTTCGTTATTTAGCTACCTACTATGTTCATTTTTTGGTATTGAAATACTGCAGAAAATATATTTCCAAATAAACAAAATTCGTAATGATATTTTAAACAGCTTGTAATATAATTTTTTTAATATTTGATGACGACAATAAATTTATTTAATATACAAGGTGGGTTATTAGTACGTCGCGGAATGTAGGTACAGGTTTTTTTTTGTATTTTGACATCCACTTATAGGTTTAATAATTAAAAATAGAAAGAAACTTTAAATACAAATGTACGACTTTTCCTTTATTTCTTTTTACATCAAAATTTGCTGGCATAAAATATATGTTTAAAATAAAAAAAAATCATTAAAAAAATTAAAATTCATCCTTATGAAAATAACAAACAACGATTTTTATAACTAACCTTTACAACAACATAAGGAGAATCCCTAAAAATGAAATAACATTAAAATACCTACAATTTTTACATATCAGCATGCAAGTAATTGTGATGATACAGTTGAAAATATGTTTTAATTTACTATTAATTGCTTCAAAAACAAATTCAAAATTATAAAACATTTCGTCCTGTATTTTTCTTTCAGTGCTTGTAAATTTTCAGGTCTTTAATAATATATTTTGTTGAAGTGTCCTCACAAAAATATGTCTAAATGACTGAGATCGGGGCTCTGACCACCTAAGGTTTCTAATAATATTTTTAGTGTTCGTTGACGGCATTCTTCCTCCAAAATAAATTTGCCAATATTCCTGAAGAACTTTTGCACATTATTGTTATTTGAATAATACAGTTAATTATGTTTTTTTTCGTCATCAGAATAACCCATTGCAATTTTTTTTAATTTTTTAAATTAACATGGGTTATTCTAATAATGATAAATCCCATGTATTTTTAAAAGGTTCGTTTCTGTCGTTTTTGTCTGATTGTGTGCGAGAGAGATAGAGTTATAGTGTGCGATAGAGATAGAGTGGCTCTGTCCTCATAGAGGGCTTCTATTTCTCTCTCTCTCTCTCTCTCTCTCTCTCTCTCTCTCTGCTATCTTTAGGAGTCTCTGGGGCTTCCCCAGCAATTTCAGGACCCCTAGGGAGGGAGCGTGGGGTAGAGCGCTTGGCCTTTTTAGCCTTCGTTATCGATCTATGATGTCACACAGTTTGAGAAAAAAAAACGGTTTCTGCTCGTAACTCGGAAATGGCTGGAAATATAAACAAATTTCCCCTTGGGTCTGCGTAGATCACTCGGTGGGTGACGCAGAGCGGGGTGTCACAATATATGAAAGAAAAAAAAACAGTATTTGCTTGGACTCTAAGTATCAAAAAATCTTCCATGGTTCTGATTGGCAATCGAATGAAAAACGTCAAAACACGCATATCAAAAAAAAAAAAATCGGGACCAACGGTGTGTAACATCATAGGATAAAAAAGTGTTTATAACTCGGAAACGGTGTATTGAATCGAAAAAATAATTGAAAAATCTCCCCACCCCCTGGTTCTGTATGTTCCTTCTGCGTTTAATGCAAAAGGTCCGAAGTCCATATGTAGAAAATAAATTTCTGAAACAAGAGATGCGTGAGATAATACAGTAAAAATAGTCTTATAACTTGGAAACGGTGCGTTGTATTGAAATAATAATTTAAAAAATCTCCCCACACCCCTGGTTCTGATTGTCCGTTCTGCGTTGAATGCAAAAGGTCCGAAGTCCGTATGTCGAAAATAAATTTTGGAAACAAGAGGTGTGTGACGTGATATAGTAAAAAGGCCGTATAACTCGGAAACGGTGCGTTGAATCGAAAAAATAATTAAAAAAATCTCCTCACACTCGTGGTTCTGCTTGTCCTTTCTGCGTTGAATGGAAAAGGTCCGAAGTCCGTATGTGGAAAATAAATTTCGGAAAGAAGAGGTGTTTGAGGTGATACAGTAAAAAAGGTCTTATAATTCGGAATCGGTGTGTTGAATCGAAAAAATAATTAAAAAAATCTCCCCAATCCTCTTGGTTCTGATTGTTCGTTCTACGTTGAATGGAAAAGGTCCAAAGTCAGTATGTCGAAAAACAAAAAAGTTAGTCAAAAATTACAACAGCAGTAGCAAACGCATTATTATATCTCTGTATTGATTGATGATTGTTGTTTTTTTTTTTTAATAAATTTCGTATTCAACTACTCCTTGAGGTTCCAGCAATTTTACATTGTGTTAATTTTTTTGAACACCTTGTGTCACAAATATGATACTAATGGCATCCATGATATGCAATACTCGTGTCAATAATTTTACCTATCTAAAGAAATCAACAATAAGAGAGCACTACCCATCTAAGGATACACAACCTGTAAAATGCATTTTTTTTTTAAAAAAAGGTGTTAATATTGTACCATATTGGAAGTCGACGCACAAATCTAAAAACATTAATTTCAAGTTTTTGAATTTTCCCATTCCAAGGTGATATAAAATAAATAATTAATTAGGTAAATTCATAGTTTTAATTCCAACTTGATTTATTTTATTTAGCATTTAAGGCAAATGTGATTTCCAAACAGAAGATAAGTTCCATATCTCTTTAATTACATAATTGAAAGCATTAAATTTATTTAGCAGTTATTATTTGGCAACAAAGCCACCGCTGGAACTGCCGCCTATTACCAAGTAGAAGAGTTAGGTACCACGCTAAATTTCATTGATGCCGGCTAACAAAAGCCTGCATTTCGGGTTACTAATTTCTAGCATTTATGTAGCAGTCTGTGGCAATAAGCTATATTGTCTGTGGAGGGGCCATAGAAAATTCACTACTGTAAGAAATATTTGTTTATATAAAAACTGTACGTCTTGTTTCACCATTTTCACTCATGTTGAATTTTATTGAATACTATTTCCATTCATCTGAATTTGCTGGTTTACATGCTGTGACTGTAGTCTCCAATTACCAAAAACAATGTCAACAAATCAGTGAAGCCCATCAAATGATTTTTTTTTTGTCAATGGTAAAAATAATGAATAAAAAATACTTTTTTGTGTAATAATTCTTAAATAAATAGGTACTTAACAATTACTCAGAAATTAAAGCTCAATAGATAATTGAGAAGGATTTTTAAAGTTGATCATCCTATTTTTAAAAATCAGTCATAGTTATGACATTTATAAGCTATTCAACGGCATCTAAATACGTTACAATTTTTTTTTTTTGACAAATCAATTGATGCAAAAATAATTTATCTGTTACTTTATGACAACCTTATAGAAAACATATAATGAATGCTTTTAATGAAATTTTTATTCATATATTTAGCTAATGTATGAAAATATAATCAATTAATTTATACTGGAGTAAACTGTAACTGTGTTAATCTAATCAGTAAGATCCTTTATGTATATTATATCACAATTACTTGAAAAAACAGAAAGAAAACATACCTATAGCATGCCTATAACTTTGAATGGCAGCATTTGTATTTTTCATTTCCATAAATTCATGCCCCATTAACGTCCATGCTGATAAAAACTGGGGATTCAGTTTTAAAGCCCTTCGAAAATACAATACAGCTTTTGCATGATCCGACCTTAAACTATAGTAGTTTCCTAGAAATGTTAATAGATATTTTTCTAGTAAATACGACCTTGGAATTAACAGTTTAAAAGACCTAACTCAAGGACAGAACAGATAAAACAGAATTCATTAATTTAGATTGATTACATATTTTTTTATTATACCTAAAAGGAAAAAAATATAATTGATCTTCATACAAGGTGTCCAGGAAATGGTGGGCAATCTCTCGGATTTGGGAAGGACTTGCAAAAATAACTACACAAATTTATATAATTTTATTTATTCAACTTCAAGAATCAATAACTCTACAGGGTGAGCCCAAAATAAAAAAAATGTGTCCACTTATAATTATTTTTGCCTAAGTCCTACCCAAATCCAAGAGATTTCCCAGCATTTTCTGAACATCCCATATAATAAGATTAGCCATTATTTTTGTAATAATCAGATCAATTTTTATTAGTTGGGAGACACACTATTGTATCTAAACGGCGTGACGTCACTTGCTTCATTTTATTTTAAGCTATTTTATTCTCCAACAGTGATAAAAAAAAGTAAATCAAGTTTTGTAGAAGTTATGAATTAAAAAAAATCAGTGTTAATTATATTTCTTCTAGATAAATTTAACTTTTAGTAAATAACAATTAATTTTACAATAAATTTGAGTGTTGAACTAATAATAAATTTCACAAAATTTTAAATAATAGTGATATTCATTCATAGTTCGCTGCTGACAAAGATCTTAACATTGTCATGATTTTTCGACTTCTACTTGTGAATGAATTGACAGTTGAGTAGTAAGCAGAAAAGTTGATAGTACTCGTATTAACATTATAATTTTATATCTACCTAATAAAATGAATTCGAAAAGTGGTCGAATTGGTATAGAGATTCAAGAGAGTGAAGTAGACAGCAATGTCAGAAAAAATTGACAAACAATACACCCACTGCTGGAGGTGACCACAATCTGTGCATGTTATCATGTCCATGAAATATTAGTAGGATTCCAAGATGAACCCAGCACCTCTAATCTCAGTAACAAAAATCTGTCACAAAGTATGGGTATATAAACGACAGAAAAAATGAATGAAATTCAACAAAAACAGTACAAATTATTTTTCTATATAGATGTTAATTGCACAATCAGAATTCAAATAGCAGACAACTGAAAAAACATTCTACCATATAATACATCTTACACATCAATTTCTTTTTTTATTTTTGGTAACGGAATTTACATACTCATGTTCAATATGGATTTAAAAGTAGAAGTCTCTTCAACTAAATCAATTATTATTGAAGTTAATGTTCAAATTCGAATATAAATTGAATATTTTGTACCCAAATGTGAATAGTCACCATTCAGAAACACACATTATATACAATTAAAAAAATGTAAATCATGAACTGTTTATTGAATCCAAAGCAAAGCTAAACCAGAAAGGGCCAAACAGGTTGAACACAAATATCCTTAGTGGCACTTGAGTGCAAGGGTTCCTTTTATTAAAATGGGAGAGGGGAAACCCACCTAGAACAAAATAAATAATCCTCTTAATGGCATATTACACTTCTAAATCCCATTTCATGGTGCTCCAAAAGTGTTGTTGCAAACTTATGCCATAGCCATAGGAAATATAAAATTTTCATATAATTTTAAATAAAAACATCAATCGCTTGAAAATGTGTCATGTAGTGATTTTCAGCAATACATGTGTGCTACTATAGTCTCCAAAGTCATTGATTGAAAATAATTATTCAGTAGCAGTGGGAAATGTTATTTTATCTTAAAATATATTTGTACAAAATCAAAATATTACTCAATTCAAATTTGCGTAATATTCATTATTTGTGCATTGCATATAATTTTTAAAGTACTGTAGTTAGAGGTTATTAATACATAACCTATTAATTTTTTTAATTTAAATGAATTAAATTTCAACTTAAATTAACAATAATAAAGGGTAACATACCTATTACGCAACAAGTTTCTACTCGATATTTATCAACATTGACAACTTTATGTGCCAAATCTGCAAGATCTTTTTTTAATTCCAGGACATATAAAAGATTTGAATAAGTGTCCAAATTGTCCAATCTATAAGGATCAACTGCAAGTATATTCTTAAACATATTTATTGCTTCATCCAACTCTACAACAAAAATTAATTTATTTCGTAAATCTTCATCGGAAATTAACACAAAATATACGAGTTGATTATGACGAAAATGTGCAAATCTTTTGGGATTTTCGGGTCAACCACCCCTTTTTTAATTTTTTGTTTCCCAAATGTTGTTCTAAATTTTTTGGTTTCTACCTGGGCCTAAGAGTCATCCCCTAAGAAATGGTATGGGTAGTTATTAAAAATATGACTACTTTAATTTTCACGAGCCATCACTGTGTATACAGAAAAATTGTTGGTATTCAAAAACGGTTTTTTCGGATACAACCCTCCTTGTTTCTGAAATAAAATCTACCACGATCAAGTTTGTAAAATCTAGTATGACTTGGAAATTTAGAAAAATCTGCTTTTTTTCACCAATATAAGGTCCTATTTCTATGAGATATGACAAAATGTTATCAAGAAAAGTTTCTCTGAATAAAAATCTAAATAAGTATGCAAAATTTCAATATTTACACCTACTTTGTTTGTTTGCTATATTTCATTTTTTTGCAAGTAAAATGGTATTTCTTTACAAGATACCTCACAATATTTAGAAAAGTTGCTCCGAACTGAGTATGTGTACAGAAATTTTAATACCCTAAGCCTTGCCTTGACATTTTGATTGATTTTAGACAAATTAAAAGTAAACATTTTGTTTCTAAATTTCCAAGGTTTACTGGATTTTACGTTTTGAAAAGAAGGCAGATTTGTTTCACAAACATGCAGAGCTGAATCCAGAATAGTTATTTTTCAGCAACAACATAATATGTTGTCTCTTGCAAGAATCATTTCAACTATCCGGGAATACGCTAAGAGTGGAAATAATAAAACTTGCAAACCAAATCTGAATAAAATTGCTTCAGTTTGTTCATATTTTTATAACAAAAAAGAAACATTTTTGTTTTAAATTTTAACATCCTATATTTCAAAAATAAAGTGTTTAAACACACATATTTATATGAATTGTTATTTGTTATTATCTGAAATAGAAACGGCCATTAAAATTTACAGTTCAATTAGAAAATTTAATTTAATTTTATATTATTATTTTAGATTAGTATAATTCATTATAGAAATTGGTGGGTGTGCAGTAGCAGTACCTTGACTATTTAGGTAAACATCCAGTAGAACAATATTTTAGATACTTATATCGAGTATCTCAACAATTTCTTTTCCAAAATATAATTAATAAAACGGTAATTGTACAGGGTAGTTGATTTTCAATAGTATAGGGTACAGCAAAAACAGTAATAGATACAAAAAAATTTGATATTGGTGTCCCGTCCTCTTCTTTTGAGTTTACTTCGCTAGTACCAAAAAATATTGGCTAACTTGATTCGTTTTAGATATACAGGTTTTTTTTGAATCGCCCATTTACATTAATCTCTTTATTTCCGTTGTCACTAAATTTAGAAGAAAAAAGTTTGAACATTATTTGTTCTATTTTTTTATGAGGAAGCCATTGGCTTACTAAGATTTTTTACAAACTGCACAGTTTTTCCAATATTACATAAACATAGGTTTTTTAAATAAAACACCCTGTATTTGGCCATCACATTGAATAGCAACTTTTTTACCTTTTCAGCCATATACAGGGTGTGCCATTTAATACTCCTGAAATGAAGAAATTTATATTAGTTCCGGAAACAGGGGTCGTTAGATCCCTCGAATGGCTTCAAATTGCAGTTAGAACTGTTTTGATTCCTGGAACGTGGAAATGCAGTCCATCTGAAAGATTGTTAAATTTTGAGTAATTTTTGTAATATAGTTTTTCCCTATATTTACTTATTTTCGAAATATGTCGACTTCAGTATGCAATGTATGATGTATTATTTTATTTAAATCACACTGAAACAAAATATTCTTTCAAAATATTGTCATAATAGCTTTATTCACACCACTTACTAGCTACTTGCATATTGTCAGCGACTCAATAATATTTTAATAATATAATATCTTTGAGCGTTGAGGTTTTCATGGTACATTTCGTAAGCTAACACTATTCTGGAAGAGAGCTAACTATACATGAAAACCAAACCGCCCTTGTTGAATTCTGGCCACAGTTTGGTGAGGATTCACATCTGACCAATAATACGCATTATGTGATTAAATATACCTTCGCTACTTATAAAAGCCTCGTCGGTCCAAATAACATTTTGAAAAAAATTGTGATCTACATGAGTTTGCTGCAAAAACCATTAGCAGAAAATGATGCATCTCACTTCATCTCCTGTATGCAAATGATGGATTTTTCTTATAGGATTTGGTCGAAACTGGCGGTTTTTTTAAATTCTCAATTATTTGAATTTACCAATTCTTATTATCCTTAGAATTTCTCTACTGGATACATTGGGATTTGCGACAACAAAAGCTAAAGTATTGACGTCATCATTTTCTCTATTCTGTATATTATAAGATTTAGCTCTAGGTTTTTGAAAAGAACCAACTCACATAAGTTATCATAGTCATTTAAAAATTCTCTTTTATGGCTGATGATGCTCTATGTATTTCTCCAAATATAAGTTTAAAGCTGCATCACTATTTTTTTTTCACTTTCAATGTAACACTCCAACATATTTTGAACTTTGTGAAGGTTTTCATACACCATTTTTTACTTTTCAAAATTTATAAAACCAAATAATAGTCGTTTAACAAGCTTTGAATCAGTCAAAAGTAAATTAACTGTCAATATTAAACAACAAACGACGAATACTAAATAATTCTCATTGCCAACGAAAAAATATAAATTTTTTGCATTTTTATTTGAGTAAATAAAAAGTATCTACTATTATAAAGGGTGCTTGGTAAGTCGATGCATTCCTTACAGGAGGTTATAGTACAAGTGATTTGTGATATATTTCCTTAATATACCATATTTCGAAAACGCTTAATTTCCGATCTACAGGGTGTTAAAGTTTTAACAAAAAAATGCAAATTTAAAAATATTGCAGAAACCGCCGAGAATATTTTAATGAAATTTTACAGACTTTGACAGTTAACAAAAATACATGTTTCACGATAAAAATATTGTTTTCAGTTTCACCAGTGGCGTGCGCATATGCTCGTCTAGATATTTTTAAAGAAAAAAATGATACGCCACTGATTTTTCTTAAAATAAAAATTATTTTTGAATTTCTTGTTCAGTTTGGAAGAGAAAAGGTAACTTGTCTGTTTTTCTTATGACGCACCGTTTTCTAGTAAAAAAATTAAAATTGATTTATTGCATGCCATAATCCGGTTTCAATAATTTGAAAATAGCAGAAACTATACGCATTTAATTTTTTTTTTGTACTTACCAATTTTATTACAACACGTTATTACTAAAGTGACAGGTATTATTAATTTTGTCAAACAATAACAAAAACGAGTGCACAGCCAACCTGCTAATTTCTGTTTAAGATAGTGAATAGTGAATCTAAAAACTGATAATTTTTTTTAGACTGATGTTAACTATGAGGAGTAATAATTTTTTGTAATAAAATTGATACAAAAAAAAACTGAGTGCATAATTTCTGCTATTTTTCAAACAGGGTTCATAGTTCAAAAGTAATAAAGAATTCCCTGACTTTTCCAGGTTTTCCCTGACTTATAAAAAAGAAATCCAGGTCACTTGTAGTTCATTTTTACATACTAATTGGTGTTTATGCATTAAATTTTTTTTCGACTGGACTCCAAAATCTTTTTTATACCCTAACAACCTCTTATAAAGGTTTCAAAACCACAAATAGTTTTCTCTTTCAAGAACCCAGGGTCGGCTTTCACAAAATTTCCAGTTGCAAACATCAAATTCCCTGACTTTCATGAATATTTTTAAAATTCCCTGACTATTCCTTGTTTTTTATGAAGAATAACAAATTCCCTGACTTTTCCCGGTATTCCCGGTTTTCCCGGCCACTACGAACCCTGTCAAATTATTGAAATCGGATTACGCTATGCTATAAATCGATTTTAATTTATTTACTCGAAAAGGGTGTCATAAGAAAAACAGTCAAGATACCTTTTCTCTTCCAAACTGAACAAGGAATTCAAAAATAATTTTTATTTTTAGAAAAATCAGTGGCATAGTATTTTTTCACCAGAGACGAGCCTGTGCGCACGCCACTGGTGAAACTGAAAACAATATTTTTATCTTAAAATATGTATTGTTAACTGTCAAAGCCTGTAAAATTTCATTAAAATATCCTGAGCGGTTTCCGCAATATTATTAAATTTGCATTTTTTTATTAAAACTTTAATACCCTGTAGATCGGAAACTAAGCGTTTTCGGAATATGGTATATTAAGGAAATATATCACAAATCACTTGTACTATAACCTCCTGCAAGGAATGCGTCGACTTACCAAACACCCTGTATATGGCTAAAAAGGTTAAAAAAATTGCTATTCAACAGGATGGCCAAATACAGGGTGTTCTATTTAAAAAACCTATGTTTATGTAATATCGGAAAAACTGTGCAATTTGTAAAAAATCTGAGTACGCCAATGGCTTCCTCATAAAAAATAGAACAAATAATGTTCAAACATTTTTCTTCTAAATTTAATTACAATGGAGATAGAAAGGTTAGTGTAAATAGTCGATTTTTCAAAAAAGCCCTGTATATCTAAAACTAATCAAGTTAGCCAAGATCATTTGGTACAGCGAAGTAAACTCAAAAGAAGAGGACGGGACATCGATATCAGATTTTTTGTATCTATCACCGTTTTGGCTGTACCCTATAAAACTATCAAAAATCAACCACCATGTACAGAAGAATAATGTAACTTCATGTTTTGATAATTTTTAGTAGACGTACTTTCTTTGATGATCTCATCTGATCTAATTAAATTTAACCCAACATAATCTAACCTGACCTGACTTTTCCTAACTAAACCTAAACGGATATTTAAAATGACTAATTATCTACATGTGTTCATTCTTGCAGGTAGAATCGTTGAGTTAACTCTAGCTTCTATGCAATATACAATAATATATTTTATATATTAATAAAAATATTGGACAGAATTAAGATACTCTTATGTCTTCGTATCAGTGTCATTTTTGTTTGTTTCAGGAGTTCCTCATTGTCAATAACATCAAAATATTCAAACAAACTACATACTTACATCCCTTACGGGTCAAAAAATCATAGTCAATTAAAAAAATAATGTATTGAATTGTAATTAGTCTAGGTTTAATTTAGGCTAGGATTAGATAAAGCTAAGTTTTTTCTAACAAAATAGACATTTAACATATACACTTTAACCAATCTATGCCACAACAAAACAACTTCATATTCGAGTTTAGGAAGTCAAAATTAGTTTAATTGACAATTTCTGTATCAAAAATTGTTAAAAACTGAAGATGTGCCATTCTTCAACAGAATTACATACTAAGAAAAGTATATCTGTTTAATATTCAAACAAAATTTAAGAATGTTTGTGACGTTCTTTTGTATTATCTGCTATGAACATTCAAAAATTAAATATCATATGAGTAGTGGGCTAAGAATAATTTTTGAAATAAAAGGAATCAATTTGTCAACTTCATTTATAGACAGATTATAATTTACCACATCAATAAAAAGTACAATAATTATGGATTTAAAAAATGAAAGCGAATGGATATCTAATAGCAATAGGCAAGAAATAACTGATTGTGAAAAAGAAACTGAAAATTATAGGAATTCAAAAAGTGATATGTATAATAAGAAATTTTCCCCAAAAGCAGATGTAATATTACTAAAATTATTTCCTGATAATCATCCACTTTCAATGGAAGAACAAATATTTTATGTTAAAATTACCGAAGGAGTCTTTGGATATAATGAACAAATACGAAATGACAACCTAAAAATTCTATCTGTAGATTATAATGTTACATTTCTTATGCCTTATTTAAGTGTTTTCATTAAGGAAACCATCCATTTAAATATAATACTTGCTGATTTAACACTATTGATATATGCAGTAAGAATGACGAAGAGTATATTAGCTAACCAACACATCTGTTTAAAAATGTACTTATATGAGATATTACCTGCAATTCTGTCCTGTGCGTTATCAAAGCGAATAAGCAAATATTACTATGATAATCACTGGACATTACGAGATTTTTCTGCTTATGTTGTTGCGACAATATGTAAAACATATTCTAATAAAATTAATAACATGACTACTAGAGTTGTAAACTTATATTTAAAACCCCTAAAAGAAAATTCTAAACCGTTGACTACTATTTATGGAGCTTTAAAAGGTTTAGCTAGCCTTGGTGAAGAAACCATAAAGACATACCTTATTCCATACATAGGAAATATAAGCAAAAGATTGTACATTATATTTGAGAAAAAAATATTTACATTTTACACTGAAGATAAATATAAGCAACAAGTTATTGAAGCCAAACACGTGAGAGACATAATAATAAACACAGTTGCCCCTATTTTGTTAAAAACACAAAATATTAATGATGGTGGTTTGTCATTTGTTAAGGAATATGGATACATAGGAAGAGGTTTATATATTCAAATGAAAAATTTGGAAAAAATTGATATGGAAAAACAAAAGGCTTTAACATATGGAAAAATTAATAACTTAAATTATTTACAAAAATTTACGAAGTAATTATGTTTACGTTATGTTTGTTTTAATAGGAAATACAATATTTCGAAATCGAAGTGTGCTGCAAATTATTATTTTAATAATTACTGCTACTGCAATTATTTTTTCATTACCTAGTCTCTTGTCGAATTTTATTGATTATTTCTCAATAAAATGATTTTATTAAACTATTTGTGCCTATGAGGTCCTGTAAGTGTCTTACTTCTCTCATAAGCTACACTTTATATAAATGTCTCTTAACGTATTCAATACTGCTCTATATGTTAATATACAGGGTGTCCCTGAAAAGGATGGACAAAGCTTGACCACAGGTTCCTTGGATGAAAATAAGACTATTTAGCTTAACTTACCTATACAGGTTCGGAAAGTCCCCATGGTACATCGACCGTTACGTGAAAGCGATAAAGTAAGTCATAGAAATCCGTGCGATAGACAAGGATGGTTACATTGAAGACGTTTCATAATCTGAATAGTCACTCCCATTTCTAACCCGAAACGGGCGATGACTATTCAGATTATGAAACGTCTTCACTATAGCCATCCTTGCCTATCGCACGGATTTCTTTACTTTGTCGCTCTCATGTAAAGGCAGATGGACCATGTGGATTTTCCAGCCCTGTATACAAAAATGCACGCCTACTGAGATATAGCCTTCTAAATATAGAACAGATAACCTAGTTTTTCTCAAATAATTTGAAAACTGTTTTTCTTAGAAACTTCAAATTTGGTATACACATTTTTTTATATAAGGGCAACGTAAATATAGAATTTGGTTAGAATACATATACAGGATGTTCTCTTTCTAGTGCCTGTACGCCACTGCCTATACTGTAATTTTTTTGTGTGTACGCCAGTGAGGCCAAAATTTATATTTTTAAAAATAAGCACTATTTTAGAAGATTTTTTGCCTCTTATAAAATTTTGATATTGTTTATAGATTTCGAGTAAAATTGGCATTTTTTATACATTAAATATAGACAAAAATTCCGATTTGCAAAAAATAATTTGTAACTGCAGCCTCAAAACAGGGAATAATAATGAAAAAACATCACATTAAAAAAAATAACTACACATTTTTAGTCTTAGTCCGCCTATGACAACAGAATTTATATTTTTAAAAATAAGCACTATTTTAGAATTTATTGCCTCTTTCAAAATTTTGATATCGTTTATGGATTTCGAGTAAAATTGGCTTTTTTACACATTAAATAATATAAAATCAGTTTAAAAGATAATTAGAACACTCTAGCACGAGGTGCCATATAACAAACAAATTCATAACAATAATTAAAAGGTTCAATGTCAAGCTAGGTGTGATTTAATTTTAGCTTAGTTTGTTTTTTATTGCAATTTATACTTTTGCTGAACAAACTGATACGTTATTAGTTTTGGGATATTGTGAAGGAAATTCTTGTGCTACTGTTTGAACATATGTTGAAAGATTTCCTAATCGAAGAATTCCAAATCACAAAACATTTGCTAATGCGGAGAGACGCCTTCTGGAAACAAGACGTTTTTAACCTGTAACATTAAATCGTGGATAACGTACGGCCTGAACTATTCAGCTGGAGGAACAATTCCTCTAGGCGTTTAGCGGCAGAGGTTGGCTTTCAAAAAGTTCCGTTAATAGAGTATTAAAAGACCAGTTATTACAGCTTACTATCCTAACAGGTGGATAGGTAGAGGAAATAATGCCCCTTTAACATGGCCACCTCGATCTCCGGATCTAAACCCATGTAATTATTTCCTTTGGGGAGCGTTGAAAACCACAATTTATAACTTTTCAGTAAATATAGAAAACGAATAATGGGAAAGAATACAACATAAAATTAATATGTTATGAGAAGTAATGCACAATTATTGGATAAAATTCATTTTAATTTTCGAAGAACTAATGCTTGCATTTAAGAACAAGGAAGTTACTTTGAGCATTTACTGTAATATTATTTTAATGTGATTACAAATATCAATTTAGGTTTATTTAAAATGTTAATGTTGACTTTCTTACATTATTAGTTGATATTGTTTATTTAAAATATTAGTGTTGATTTTTATTTTATTGATTGATAATAAATACTAAGACTAAAAATGTGTAGTTATTTTTTTTCATGTGACTTTTTTTCATTATTATTCCCTGCTTTGAGGCTGCAGTTACAAATTATTTTTTGCAAATCGGAATTTTTGTCTATATTTAATGTATAAAAAATGCCAATTTTACTCGAAATCTATAAACGATATCAAAATTTTATAAGAGGCAAAAAATCTAAAATAGTGCTTATTTTTAAAAATATAAATTTTGGCCTCACTGACGTACACACACAAAAATTACGGGATAGTCAGTGGCGCACAGGCACTAGAAAGAGAACATCCTGTATATGTATTATCACCAAATTTTTTATTTACGTTGCGCTTAAGTAAAAAAATAAGTGTACCAAATTTGAAGTTTTTAAGAAAACTAGTTTTCAAATTGTTTGAAAGAAACGATTATCTATTCTATATTTAGGCTATATCTCAGTAGGCGTGCACTTTTGTATATAGGTAAGTTAGGCTAAATAGTCTTATTTTCATCCAAGGAAGCTGTGGTCAAGGCGTTGTCCATCCTTTTCAAGGACACCCTGTATAATTCTGTTTTTTTTTTTGTTTTGTTTTAATGTACTTATACATGACAGTGGCAGTCTTCCTTAATATATATGTTCATCTTCATCAAAAATGACTATTCATTCTGTAAATTGTGTACACGCTGCTAAAACTTGTTAGTCGCCGTGGATACTCATCTGCACTTCTATCCAAATGAAAAAATTATAGGGATTCATTGATCAAAATTTGTAGAATAAATGAGAATACATAAGTGCACTTAATTCCTTGTTAATTATATATAATTATATTACTGAAAGTGGCGATTGTTCTTACAATTATTCATTTCTATAAAGTCCAGAGTGCATTATGCATTACATTTTTTACTACCAAATGAATTAATGTATAAAAAGTAATGTCAAATTTCATATAAATAATGGAAAAATAATTTCCAGGACATAAGTAAAAAAAAAAAAAAAAAAAGAACTAATGAATATTATGTAGATCCAACCTAAAGATAACAAAAATTATAATCGCTAATTTTACACTTGCACCAAAAAAACATATTTATGTCTAAGCACTTACTTCTACGATTGTGATGTCCTAAAGCAATTTGTGACATTATATAGGTACTATTTTCTAAACCCATTGAGTACAATATATTATACATCTGAAGAGATTCATCATTATTTAACTGTTCTAAATAAGTATGAGCTATAAAAAAATATTTAATCCAATGATCTGGTAGCTGTGATGAATATATTTTATTTTTGTCTGGTATAATTTTTCCAAGTTCATACCAGGCACACCACAGTATAGGTTCTGTTTTCACTGCCTTAATGAAAACATCAATAGCAAGAGCTGACAAATCTAATTTTTTTAATATAATCCCATATAGGTACAAACAATAACCATCCAATTTATTATCATAATAGTCTATTTTTAATTCTGTACATAAGTCTTTTAAAGCCTCATTTTTTGTGGGATCTGGAGGGCAATTAGTGTCAGTCATATTATCCAATTTCTTTTTTTCAATAGACAAATATCGTGCATAAAAATAAAGAAAACGTGGTTTGGGTTTATTACAAGCTCTAACAAAATGTGCACATCTGTCATATTCTTTTAAATCAAAATAAGACTTTGCAATTAAGAATTCTTCTAGTTCCTCTTCAGAATCTTCTGAATATCGAGGCAGCTCTTCAGGAAATAATTTTATATGTTTCAAAGCATAATTTATTTCAGATAGCCACTTCACTGTATGAAATAATCCTCTTTGCGAACATTCATATATGCCTCTCATTAAATCATATTTCATAATTTTGAAATCAATTTTAATATCTGAAGTATCCATTATTTCTAATTATGCAAAAATAGTTCGGAGCCTAAGTATTAGGAACTGTGTTTCTATATCTTTATTCTGTTTTTAATACCTCGCTTCCAGCACAAATTACCCTCTTTGTCTTCACCTGTAATCAACTATATATCCTGTAAAATAAATTTGAAAGTTAATGAGGTTAGGAAAATTAAAAACTGTCAACAGTGTCAACGGAAACGTCGGAAACCAACAAAATATCCTTGTTGGAAGAGTTCATTCGTTTGTTTGTCCGATCTAAAATGCTTGTAATTAGCCAGGATCCAATATATTTCTGCCTCTCTTTTATACATACATTTGTATTTGACACATATTTTGCATCTCAGTCATTTATATGCCATGAATATATAATTTGTTAGTTATTGAACTGAAGTGAATTACACAAACGAAACGAATAGACCTAGTAGTATCTGGGGTTTTGCATACTTGTTATAAGAATCTATTAAAAAAAGATATTCCGTACTAATCAAAAAGGTAATTCAACAAAAAATGCACAAGTGATACCGCTTTTTTATTTTTAATCATTTTACTGAAGATATTTCACGATTCGCTGGAGTTTTGACCACACCACCTTAACCTCACTTTTTTAATCGGATAAGACGCGTGTTTAAGAACCTCAACAACGCAAAAACGGATTTTTTTCTAATTCACCGTTCACATCATGAGTTTATATTGTTGGGTAAGAAAAACCAAATATATTTAAAACAAAAAAATATATTTTATTGTTTATTCAGGGTGCTAACAGTTACGGCCAATTAGGTTTAGGCTACAAATCTGATGAAGAATTAGAACCGAAAGAAGTACCATTAAAAAACTGTGACTTGAGAGCTGAAGATATAATTTCTATAGCAGGAGGAGCTGGACATAGTCTAATTTTAGACAAATATGGTTTTGTCTACTGCTGCGGTTTGAACTCAAAAGGCCAGCTGGGACTATCAGATGATACCTTGAAATTAACCCAGATTGAAATTTTAGGAGAATTTAAAATTGTTCAGATTTCCTGTGGGTGGGACTTTAGTGCAGCTGTATCTGAATGTGGAAAACAATTTGTATGGGGCAATAATGCTAATACTCAGCTCGGTCTGTCTAAAAGCATAACATGCACAGGTATACCATCAAGGCTACAAGTATCACAAAAGCTAGCTACAGGTTTTAAACATGTAAGTTGCGGATTAAGACATTCAGCAATGATAACAAAAGATGGTGGACTCTTAGTTGCTGGTACAGGTGCCAAGGGTCAATTAGGGCTAGGTGATAACTTTGATGACAACAATTACTTAAGTATATCCAAAGTTCCTGACTTAGAAGATGTAGTAAGTGTTGCTAGTGGTCAACATCATACTGTAGTTCTTAGGGACAATGGAACAGTACTTAGTTGGGGTGAGAATAAATTTGGTCAATTAGGCGTTGATCCAAATGTGGCAAACAGTTTTGTACCTTTAGAAGTGTTTAGTCATGATGGACTGCACTCTGTATATGCTGGTTGGACCCACAGTGCAGGCCTCACCAAGAATGGGGACATATTTACTTGGGGACGCAATTCTTATGGGCAATTAGGGGCAGAAAGGGAAGTACCATATAAACCAGAAAAAGTCCCCGCATTGAATAACATCATTCAATTAAGTCTTGGTTCAGAGCATAATTTGGCCGTCACAAAGGAAGGAAAATTATATTCATGGGGTTGGAACGAACATGGCAGTTGCGGTACTGGTGATAAAAAAGACGTTAAAATCCCGAAACAAATATTAAGTAACAAAAAAATTAAATATGCATTTGCTTGTACTGGTAGTTCATTCGCTGTCGTTGAATAGCACTAAATTAGTATAATTCTCAATTATGTATTTTTCATGTTTTTCTTGTTCGTAAGTATTTTTATAAAGAATTATAATTAATTATTATTGTACTGTATTTTTATAATAAAAATGTGTTGCATGTATTGATTATTTTTCTTTTGTTGGCAATACTTTACACCTGCTTCTTTGTTTGTATTGACTGTTCTACTGATTTTGATTTGTCAAAGTGATTAAGTAGTTTGTTGAATTTCAAAATGTTGAACTCATTCCATCTAAGAAACAATAGGTAAATATTTTTTTTATCAAATCAAATTAATTTATTTGTTTAAGATTATTGCTGCAAACAGTTCAATATTGTACATGTTTTCAGAACTCGTTTTCAAATGTTTGTTTTATATGATAAATATCCATATTATAGCAGGTATATACAGTACTGTCCATTAAGAACTAGAAACATTTTAAATTTTATTTGGTACAATTTAAATGAATTTATATATGTATTTATAAAACTTCCAAAATATTCAGTGGCTTTGAAATTATCGAGTTCTAGCGACAGTACTTCATTACTGATTGGCAGAAGTGAGGGCTGGTGAAAATTAAAGTGCATATTTTCATAAAAAATATGGAACCCATATTGCCAAATAAATTAAAATATATATAGGTAAATAATTTTTTTAATAATAATAATAATAATAGTTATAATTTTTTCATAATTATCCGAGATAAATTTTTTTTCATTTTTAGCAAAATTAAGTTTAATTTGTAGTTATATCTATTTAAATTTAAATTTTATTTTTCAAACTTGATAAACTATGAAACATTAAAATTTTGAGAAAAATAAGAAGCGGCTGCATATAAGTCAAATACAAGAAAAAAATATGTTGCAAATATGTACAACTCTTTAAGTTTCCAGGGTTGACAGCCCCTAATTTTATTTTCTAATTCACAAATTTGATTTTTTTATCATGATCTAGAAATCATCCCTTAAGAAATGGTATTTGTCCCATGCTTTATTGTCAAAGTTTGACCACTAATTTCACCATCCGCCACTGGTACCTACCGAATTTTTGCCCATAATTATTGAAATCATTAACTCAAGTTTGATCAATTTACAAAAAGCATCTTAAAAGGGATTTAATTAAATGTGATAATTTTTTAAATTTCAACATCCTGTATCTTGAAAGGGAAGCGTTTTCATGCACATTTATAAAAACTTTTTTTATTGATTTGTAGAGTATAATCCACCATTAAAGTTTAACAGAATTTACCATTAATACCCTGTATATATAAAAAAAGTAATTTAAATCATGCACCGCAAAATTCTGAGTTCTGGTTTTTAGTGGGACTGCATATATAGGGTGTTTCAGGATTAAGTCGACAAACTTTAAGGAGATATTCCTCATAAAAAAATAAGAAAAAAATCAAGTATAAATTTTTTTCCAGGGATGCTTCATTTTCGAAATATAGGGCATTAAAGATTTTTTAAAAAATTCAAATTTTTTAAATAACCTAAATGAAGAACGTTTTTTAAGCTCGGACTCATTAAATTATAAAAAAAATTAATACGGCCATAGTGAAAATAAAAAATGATGCTGTTTTTAGATAGAACAGAATGTTATTGACAAAAAGAGTACATTCACTTTTTTTCCTAACTCTTATAGTTTCATAGCAAAATTGATTTTTCGGAAGTGTGCTTCTGGATTATGTCGATAAACTTTAAAATGAACCTCATCAAAAATTTTCGAGTAGGCTGCTGTCAAGCAAAGTTAATTTGACGTTTTAAATGTTATTTGGTGAATTGTTGCATAAATGATCCATTATATAAAGTGTTCAAACTAATAATAAAAATAAGTTTAATAATGCCGCCCATATTTTCGAACAATGAATATGCTGATATAATCTTTGTATATGGTTTTTCTGATGGAAATACCACGGCGGCTCGCCGTGAAAATGCAGTAAGATTTCCTCATCGCAGACTACCAGCAAAGGAAACATTTTCAACGACATTCAGTCGTCTCAGACAAGCTGGGTCTTTCGGTATTCCAACTTATGCTGATGGACATTTCGCCCCACTTCAGGACGAAGTAAGATCGAATACTATTTTAAACCATTTCGATGAAAATCCATCCATGAGTGTCAGAAGATCTAGCTATGAGCTAGGTATTTCGTCAAGTTCCATTTGGAGGACTCTTCGGGCTGATGGACGCCATATGAACCATATCCAGCGTGTGCAACATTTATTGCCTCAGGGCATACGATGCAGGCACGTGTTTTGTGACTGGATGTTAAACCAAGCAGAGAATGATGATCAGTTTACGCAAAAAGTAATGTGGACAGATGAGGCAACATTTACTAGAAGGGGAATTTTAAACCAAAGGAGCAACCATATTTGGTCCTACGTGAATCCACGTGCGGCAAGGGAATATAATATTCAGCATGAGTTCCAATGTAACGTATGGTTGGGTGTGTTGGACAACACTATAGTTGGTCCCTACTTCCTTCCGCATCGGTTAAATGCTGACATGTTTACCGAGTTCCTTGAAAATGGTTTTCAAGATCTTAGGTGATGTTCCGCTTAATACTCGAATGAACAGTTGGTTTCAACTAGAAGGTTGTCCTGCCCATTTTGGTAGAGGTCCTAGGGAGTGGTTAAACATTAATTATCCCAGGAGATGGATTGGTCGTGGAGGACCTGCAGCGTGGCCCGCACGTGCCCCCGACTTGACACCGATGGATTATTCCGTTTGTGGTACTGTTAAACAAAAAGTCTACGAGGCGCCAGTTGATACCCTAGAAGATCTAAGACAGCAAATAGTCCAAGCGTGTCGAGAATTAACTCCAATTCAGTGTCGATCAGCCACTACCTCCATCTACCTCCATAATTAGAAGATGTCGTGCTTGTCTACAGTTCGGAGGCGCCCATTTTTAACAAAATATTTAAATCATTTAATTTTTGATTCACTTTTCGCTTTGTCTAGGTATAATATTAATTGGTAATTTTTTGGTTGTTTCAATTTACAAATAAATTTTCATGTATTGTTTGCCATCTTATTTTATTTAAAAGTACACAAGTAAATGAAGTGACTACAAACCGCCTGAAAAAATTTAGGGCAAGGGTTGTTACGTTGTCGCATTACGACATAGTCACATTAGATGTTAGGTACTTAAATATTTCTATTGTTTTCATTTTTTTTTCCAAAAAAAACACCCTATCTCAAAAATGAAGCATCTAAATAATTTTAATACTATTGGTTAAACCCAAGGGAAGGAGAGACAAAAAGGCTTATTTGACTCATACATACTCGAGACTAAGACCAATTTTAATAGGTACTATATTTTTTAAGTTTTACGAGGAACGTCTTCCTAAAGTTTATCGATAGAATCCGGAAGCACCCTTCCGAAAAATCAATTTTGTCATGAAACTATAAGAGTTAGGAAAAAAAGTGAATGTACACTTTTTGTCAATAACAAACTGTTCTATCTAAAAACATCATTTTTTATTTTCAGTAGGGCCATATTAATTTTTTTTATAATTTAATGAGTCCGAGTCCTCATAACTCTGCCAACGGTTGCTTGCGGGACTTCTACTTCTATGGAAAAATGGTATCTTATAAAATGTGTCATGCCAAATTCTTCAATTTAGAAGTTATTTAAAAAATTCGATTTTTTTTAAAAATCTTATAATGCCCTATATTTCGAAAATGAAGCGTCTCTGGAAAAAAATTTATACTTGATTTTTTCTAATTTTTTTATGAGGAATATCTCCTTACCTAAAGTTAGTCGACTTAATCCTGAAATACCCTGTATACAACCAATGGTTTTATAAGCTACATAAAATAACTATGTAAATTACACAAGTATTCAACATAGTATTATAAAGGTAGGTATATGAAAATAGATCAATTTAGAAATTTTAAAGTTATGGAATAGATTTTTTATTAAAAATGTTTAACTAGCATGAAATTATGCGACTGCATTCATGTAATTCAAATCATTTTACATTTAGTAAATATAATCATCAGAATAGAACATTTGTGAAGATTAAAGACATAATATCTATCAAAGGCATTTACAATTTTTCTTAGATGTTGCTAATTATAACTTTTTTTATAATTTCGTATTCATCTATAATGTTTTAAAATTAACAAGCAATAAACAGAGCATCTAAATTTAGGCAACCTTAAATTACGTGTAAGAAATTTAACTAAAACTTCCTCAAACCAAACAAAGTTGTTAACCATACCTATATGTATTCAGTATCAAAATGGTTCCTTAAAAAGTTATGCAACTTCATAATAATTTTTTTATATTGTTAAGATAACTCATCCCTCGCTTTTTAAAATATATTTCAATGAAACTTGACTTATTCTGTCTAAAAGAATTTTTAGCAATCTCTATTTTTTTTGGTATGAAATAAGCTTATATATCATGTTTGGTTATCCAAAAAATTCATCTCTGCCAAGTTTCATTGAAGTATCTTGGGGATTGTTCAAAATTTTTTTTTGTACAGCTATTTATTACCACTTACACCGTATAGTAATCTTCTAAACGGACATGCTGATCTAGTTGATAAACTATAGCCTTTTTTAAATCGATTAAGTAATCATTTAGTGATTTTTTTATTTAAAAATCTGGCTATGTAATCAGTTTCACTTAAAACTCCAATCTAAAATTTATGTATAATGCAGAATATTTTTTATGCAGTCTTGAGATTTTAAATTTATGAAATTTGTTTCAGTTTAAATGTATAGTAGCGATTATAAAAACAAAGATGAAAAATAAATCAATTACCGACACTGCTGATTATAACTAATACTGAGAATTTTATGTTATACCTAAAATTATACAAATTATTTATACTCTATTATTTACCAGTGTCAGTATAATTGACTATTTTTTCATTCTCAGACACTTTACAACTGAAACAGAAACTTCGAAAAAGGAAGGGATCAAAAAATTAAGATAGAAAATACTAAAATATAAAATTCACTTCTAAAACAAATTGCAGCAGTACTTGGTTACTCACTGTAATGGTTGAGAATATCTAGAAGACCACTATAAATATATAGGTACTTACCTAAACTAAAAAATAATAAATCAAATTAGAAATTTCTAAGCGTAATTTTCTTTCAGCAATATTTTTGAATTTTTATATACTGACTACCTCTTGAAATAATCATTTTGTGAGATATTACTATAGGATAATAATTTTAGTGAAATTGAAGCCAAATTCATCCAGGATCGAATTCAGTTTGTCGAAAGAAATTTGGGTGAATTTTGTAACACATTTGCACAATATTGTCGTAAAACAGCAAGACTTCGCGATAAAGGTGATGAATTAGCTAAGATTGTCCTAAATTATGCCGAATCAGAAAATATAAATAAATCATTAGCAATGGGATTAGAAAGCTTTGCGGAGCACCTATCAACTATTAGTGATTATGGCGACAGTAGAGTCCAGATGTTAGAGGCCAAAATTATCAGTGAATTTGCACGATATGAAGACATTTGTAAACATGCTAAAGATGAAGTGAAAGACATATATACTGCTAGAGAACGAGAAATAAACAGAAAAAGGCAATTAGACAGAATCAAAGACAGAAATCCCAGAAACAGGCAACAAATTGTAAGTAAATAAAACAAAATTACACTTACCTTTATATTTTCTATTTGTGTAGTTACATTTATTAAATAATAAAAAAAAATAATATACATAATGTTTGGTAACGGAGTACTAACAAATTTATATATGAAACATTGAAATTAAAATATATTTTATTGGATGGTTTATAACTATTATGTTCGATGAATGTTGATCATAGGTGCAAGCAGAAACTGAACTAGTAAAAGCTACAGCAGAAGTATCAAAAACTATACACAGTTTAGAAGAAAAGACCAATAACTTTGAAAGACAAAAATTACATGATATAAAATCAATTCTACTCGACTTTATAACTATAGAGTTAGGATATCATGCTAAAGTAATAGAAATTTTTACCAAAGCTTTTAATGACATAAATCACATAAATGAGGAGTCAGATCTAAAGGTTAGTAAGAAATATATGTTAGTTACAACAAATACACTTAACAATAAATATGTTTGTATTTAAATATAAATATATACTAAAAAATCATCTTCAACAAATGTATTGTAGTAATATTCGATTTCTTTATCTTTCCTCTTTGTTGCATAGGACTTTCAAAAAATTAGAGGAAAAATGGAATCGGTAATAAATATAACCATGTTAGTTTATTAACAAATGTAGATGCTAATTATTTTATTCAGGAATTTAAAAAATCACTGAGGATGCCAGACACCAATCCACAAAAATCACCAGCCCGAAAAAGTTCTCTCTTTAGATCGACAGGATCTTTAGGTTCAATAGGAGGGATATTTTCAACAACCCAACGAAACAAGAATGTAGCTGGTATTCCACATTTAAGTGAAAGGTCTCATTTTAAAAGTGAAGAAACATTGGATTCAATGAAACATAGTATTTCAGATAGTAATGGCTCGGAAAGTCAGGAAGAAGAAAATGATACTTCCAGTAATATAAATAATTCATCAATAGTTAGAAAAAAATTATCTAACTAAACTTTACAACTTCAAGTATTTTGTTACAAATTCTTAGTTGTGTTAAAACACAGTATGTAGAATAAAGTTCATGTAGTTAAAGTGATGTGCATGATCTAAACTAATAAAGTGTATTTATACCTTTTTAATTTTTATTTACCTACCAATGACCTGCTTAAATAATTCATAATGGCCACCACAAAATTAAACCAATTTACAGTTCGTATGATATTTGTCAAGATAGAATTCCAAAAGGACCTCTAGAGGTAGAAAGACATTAGCAGCGTGGCTTTCACTATAGCAGCTTGCAGTGCATACTGTGTATTGCAGTTATGAAGGTGTGAAGGCGAACAAATATTCATAAAAAAATTAATATAAGCTTATTAATATGAAGAAAATCCTCAAAAAAAATTATGACTAGTTTGGATACCTAAAAGACGAGATATTAATAAAATAATTTTTCTCTATTTAGTACAGTCTTATGAGAATGCAGATTTTTTTGGTCTTTCCACTTAGAATGCGCAACAATTAACAAACAGTTTCCACAGCAATTTGTATGAATAGGAAACCAATATCTAAGGAATCGTATGACAGCTCGTAGAAATCGATTAGGTACTTATAAGATACATAATTTACAATAATTCTCTTTCAAACTGCTGTCGTTGACTAACTTAACCTCCACATGCGTGATAGCGGCAACGCCGCGGTTCTCGAAGTAGCGTATTATTTGAAATTCGCAGGTGTGACATATGATGTATATTTCAAGCTTAGGCATCCAAACAAAGCCAGCCAAGTGCAACGTTGCCAAATCTAAAGTCTTACTACTTTAGTCACTAGCGAATTTGCAGAAACTCCGTTAGACTTTAAATGTAGATCCGTACCCCATAAACCTCCTTAAGTTAGTTCCTATTGTTAGTTCCTAGACAACCAAATGTTTTTTAACACACATAAACAAGCTAATAGTTGTCTTAGAATGCATGAACATAAATTTTTAAAAATTTTTTTTAGATGCATCTGTGTTATTATTACAAATAGTCTTGGTTAAAAAACAAAAGTTTAGTATCTCCGAAATTCAACATTCAATAGTTTTTCAACAAGAAAATTTACTAAAATTTACCCCTATATTATTTTCGTTTAATATGAAAGTAAAAAGGTGAGGAGTGTAGTATATTATCCCTATACTTTACAGAGGCACTGTGCATGTTCCATAAAAGCAAAAAAACAAATATTTAAGTTTCTATTTACCTCATGAACTATATAAATTTATTTTCTAAGTTTATAATCACAGATTGTTGAAAAAATTAAGTATGCCACTGGATTTTAAATGAACAATAGTCAACATTTAAAAAAATGTCTAACTATAACCTAAGGGCAGGTGTCACAAAAATTTTTTACTATTTTTCTATAACTTAAAAACTAATGAGATGTGACCTAATAAGAAATTAACAAGCTAATTGCCAAGATGTAATAAAGTTTCATCATGTCATGAAGTAACGACGTACCATTGAAAGAACAGGTACATGTTCAATGAAAAAGTTAAAACTTGTTTTTTACAATTAATTGAGAACTATAGTAGGATCGTATTCGATGCAAAGTAATCGTGTCATCATTTTTAGGAGGCGTAAGGTGAATCATTTCAAATTTAAAATGAAATTCAATGTTAAATCTGAAATACCGCATCATACCGATTGTGTTCTCTTAGTAGCTGTAGTCGCCCCGGTGCATCGAGTGTACGAAGTGGTCGGTTATACGTCAAATAGTAGCCTGGCGAGCTTGATCGTAAAACAGAGTGCTTCCAAAAAAACAAGTAAACAACAGTGGCACGTACAGAGGTAAAATGTAATACATATGTGGAAATTAAAAAACAAATTGGATTTATAATAAATTACATTTAAAATAAATAGTTTATGAGAATAAACAAATAGTTTATGAGAATAAACGAATTTTTGTAGGAACAAGGGTGCCAGACGTGAACTGATCCCTTGGTCCCTTCATAATGTATAAACAAATTATTCAATTTCTAAAACCCTTAAAAGCAAATGTCACTGAATCCCTTGGCAAGCAATGATTTATTCCTTTGCATCGAATATGATCCTACTATAGGTACGGTACATGAAATAACAGCTTATCAATAAATTTCAATAAACACTACTTAATTCTTAGAAATTATGAAAAACACAATTTGTAAATACAAAAATGTTTATTGTTATTATGTGTACATATAAAATAAAATAAAACTATTAACTTGCGCTTAACTAAAACTTTACGAGTTCTTTGGTAGAAATGTATTTTTACCTTGAATTATTAATTATTTTGATTTAAATATTTTCTGTAGTTCATAAACTTCATTTATCTTGTAGGTTACAATCCATTCTGAAAGGAATAGCAAATTAAAAGTTGGGAATCAGTACAAATTTAAATTTCTGTCCCAATATCTATTCTTAATAGATCGGATTGTGAATCTTTATTAAATAGAAACATATTCTGTACTATCCATTTAGTAAAATTCATCCAATCTATTTCGGAGCAGGTCGAAACCTACCAGATAAACAGTAAAATGAAAACATAAGCAAAAACTAAAAATATGTTTTATTTTATACATATTTGTATTAGAGCCATAAGCCTAATAGTTATGCACTACTTAGGATTATTTACCTAGTTTTAACTCAATAATATTATTTCGTAGTAAGTACATGACTCATTTTTCTGTTCCTTCAACACCTGCCTGTGTCATTAAATCACCTATATTTTTTTCTAAATCATCTATTCGATTCCCCATCTCATCAATTCTAGTTAATATCTGGTCAGACATATTTTGAAATTTATCCTGAATTGTTTGCAACAAACTTTGAACCTAAAAATTATTTCATTATAAAGTAAAAATTTAAGGCTATGTTTCCAAACTTACGTATTGTGTTAATTCTTGGACATTTTTTGGATCATTTGTGTTGATACTGGAATAACTTTCAGCTTCGTTATTCATTTCCACTTTGTCGTCAACCATAACTAAAAATGAGTTGTACAAAAATATTAGTCCGTGATTTATGTAAACTATTACTGCAAGTACAAGGACAAAAAAGGGTTTTGTTTTCAACAGTTGTTTTGTCGAAAATTGTCACTGTCAGTGCCAGGTACTGCGCAAATCAAATACCAAGCAATATGCGCGGGAAACAAGAATTATAAATAAGCGTGATCAATCTCACTAAATCATATGCTTTTGAAGCTACAATACATTTTAAAGATTTTATATTCCTTTTTCTTAGATTTATTGACTAAATAAATATATAACTTGTATTGCAGGGGCGTATTTCTAAATTATGCACCCTGGGCGAATATGATCGGCCGCCCCAATACCTGTCAGTTAATGTAAAATATCGGCAAAAAAACCCAGATCTGTTTTTATTTTGAAGGTTCACTTGTAAATGAAATAGTATTCGCTATTTCTTCCATTTTTTATGTTGTATGACAAATGTAAAAACACGATTCTCTTCAGTTAACGATTTAGAAGTAAACACATGCAGCTTTAGCTAATAAAACAATTTTTAATTATTAAATAATATTAGATTTATAAAATTTAGATAAATGGAATTGAAATCCCTTAAAGTTATATTCACAATTTACATCATTTATTATTTAAGTTGATAGCTGATATTATCAGATAATAGGTACCCTGCATCGATAATAGGTAACGAGTGCAAAAGTGCAAGTCGATACCGTTATAATATAATATACCTATCAAATAGATTAACACTGTACCTCCAAATATCTATAAAAATTTGGTCTACTTCGTACTAAAAATGTTCGGCGCTGCAATCGTTTGATTAAATGTGATTTCCCCCACGCATTAACCATCAAAGGTCACACACACTTGGGATGGGCCACCTTAAAGGTCAGACTTATGCGAATTGAGATTTTGCCAAGTTTGAACCTTTATCTCTTCGTTAACGAAAACAACGTATTTATATATCAAAACTGGGGTAAAATTTTTAGAGAAATCGAATGATGTAATTAGTTTTGAAAAAAAAATTGTTAAAAAATAACTTTTTTTAAATTCGTATTTTTTTTTATAAATAATGGCTAAAGAAAAAGTAAAAAAACGGATTTTGAAATTCAGTCTATATTTTTAACAAAAAAATACCCCATATTGATATAAAACGATATTATAGATTTTTCCAGTTACAATTAAATTATTTATGAAAAAAAATGTTTGAAAATTTATTAACAATAATGAGGTTTGTTTCTACAGTAAGTTGTGGCTGTCACGATGAGTATGCAAAATTTTTAGTATTCGTGCAATCTCAAATTCTGATAGTGAATTTAGCGTCCGTGCAATCTCAAACTCTGATAATAGTCTGGGAGGCAACGACACTATTGATGTAGTTATTCCTGCAAAGCTGAATTTTCTCCATTATATTTTGGTATCGCAAGTAAATGGAACGGCAGTCTACCGCGCCAACGCAACGTGGGGGCAAACAGTAATAACAATTTTTGGAACATGTAAATAAATAATATGTAATATGGATGTCTTATACCTATACAAGTGTGAAATTTGTTATGATTTTATGATTTAAGGTCTTTTTATGATCAATTATACCTAAAAATACAGTATAATAGTTTACCGGTTTACCGCATCATAAGCGGGGCCATCAAGGGTCTACCACCTACGCAAGGAGTTGAAAAATTAACTTTTTTTACTTATTTCTACATGGCTGAAATTTTTTCCCCAAATACTTTAGTGTATAAGAAAACCAAAACAGACATTCTACCGATCATCTAAAGTAGACTTTTTTCAAATAACTGAAATTTTTCTTTTTTAACGTTTACCTAATTAAATTAATTTCGACTGAATTAATTTTATAATTTGTAACAATGGTACTTTCTGAAACTAGTACGTGAAATCCCCGATTTGCTTTTCATCGTCGCTTTCGTCAATCACACTCGTGCGAAAATCAGTTTATTGCCTAGAGGTTTTCCTAGTCTTTCAATACCAGTAGAACTAATTATACGTTTTTACTTTCTATCTTTAAATGGAAAATAAATGTATTATTAATATTAGTAGTGTTGAACAATATTTTATGACACAACGTGCGGTAAGTGCTACTTTCTTTACAGGCGTCTGTTAAAGTAGCACTTACCGGATGGAGTGTCATAGAAACTGTTTATAAAATAAACAACGCAAATACATATAAATAAGATGTTTTTTATTATAACAATATAGTAATTATATAAAAAATAAATTTATTACAAATAATACTTTTCTTATTTCCTCATCGCTACTGACATTTAATTCCGACTTCCATATCGTAATCGCTATGTTCATCCTCATCATCTTTCTCATCATACACCCCAGGGTTTTCGTTTTCTTTAAGATATTGGTAACACCGTCATTTGCAAATATTTCTGGAGATTCGTCAAGCATTTCTGTATTTGCAAATAGCAAATAACTAAATATTATTATACTATACAAGGTGTTTCAGTTCGAGTGAATCAAACTTCAACCACAAATACAACTCGATAAGATTCAGATAGGTAGGTATGCCTTATAAAGCAAGGGTCTAAGTCTCACCATTTTCACTGCACAGGGCTGTATTGGTCGGTTGTTAAAATCATTATTTACGAAATCTTTGGTATGCTTATAATAAATTGATTAAAATTTGGTGTGGTGTTAACATTTGCACGTGTGCATAATTTACTGTAAAATTTACAAATTTTTGTAGGTCAATGATGTAGAGGTAGTAAAGCGGGATTTTTTACCCCAACTTTTACGCCAATGACCTAGCAATCATTTGGAATCTATTTTTAGATTCCGTGGACAATTCTACATAAAAAAAGTATACTTGTTGAAAATCAGTATAGTGTATCGTTTACCGAAAATCTCAGTTGAATGGGAGACCATTCTTCTGATAAGAAATTTAGTTTCTTAAGGATAGGAAACTAATTTTAAATTAATATTATGTCATGCATTAACTTAGAATTCAAAACAATATTAAATAATATGTCTTTACATCGGCAACACGATTGGTAAATTCTAAATGCAATATCTTCTGTATTATTTATTGCATTTGTAATGTGGTGAATTCCCCCTCTGAGCTCAATTTTTTGTTGCGCTACAGTGCGGTGGACGGTATACCTTGTCTAAAATTTGTGTCATTCTGAAGCAATTATAGATATCCATGCTCATTCAAAGGTTTGTTTCAAACAGATATAATTTCATTAAAAAATTACACCTATATATTAATTTTAAATCTGCGCTGTGTATCCATTACAATATCCGTACTAACGATTGACATGAAAAAACAACTCAGCAATAATAGACTTATCTGTCATCAGGAACTGTCATTTTATTTTTAAAATTTGAAATATTAATTAGTATTTGTAAAAAAAATGGATTATCAGAAAAACGGTCTCCCATTCAACTGAGATTTTCGGTAAAACAATACACTATACCGACTTTCAACAAGTATACCGTAGAATATATATTAGCATAGAAGTTGGGGTAAAAAAATCCCGCTTTACTACCCATTCCTACGCCACTGACCTACAAAAATTTGTAAATTTTACAGTAAATTATGCACATGTGCAATTGTTAACACCACACCAAATTTTTATCAATTTATTATAAGCATACCAAAGATTTCGTATATAATATAATTTTAACAACCGACCAATAGGGCACTGCACAGTGAAAGCGGTGAGACTTAGACCCTTGCTTTATAAGGCAATTCTGAATAATTTATAGAGTTCCATTTGTTGTTAAAGTTTGATTCACTGGAACTGAAACACCCTGTGTATTATATTATACTAACATAAGTCTGTCATTTTTTAATTGACTTTCAGTCCTCAGTCCCACCAAAATGCAAATGTGTATAAGTAACTAAATCTTTATCCTTTTGTAGATTAAATGTCACATCATCATCAGTTGACTGCTCGGCTTATAGGGGCCGCAAAAAAAAATTCCAAACAGGATGATTCTTTTTAGGGTTGCTTGGGGACTGCCTTCTGAGTATCCAACCAAACGATCACACTTGAACTCCTGGTATGATTTGCGCGATGGGGGTGGTTTCCTTAACATTTTTTTTAGAGCAAAATGACCTTCATTCATAAAAGTTGTAGAGGATCAATTTCTGAACAACTTTTCCTTATAAAAATTTTTTGTATCTCTAATACTACTAGTGCTGCTACAATTTTGGCTTTGCCAAAACTAAATGGAGTCGATGTGGTGTCGCATCCACTGAACGCATATATAAACAGTTATGTTACGTTCAGCTATTTTTTTCGAATGTTTGCAACAATTTCTTGAATAAATGAATGAAAACTGCTAACACATGACAGTCTAACACTGCTTGCCCACTCCCAACGTCGCCAACTCTTTGTAAAAACATGTTTTCAAGACCACCACTGTAGCGTCCGCAATTTTTCTCATATAATGCACAGTAACTCTTTGAGTATTAAACACAAAAAAATTTTATGAAAGTTGTTCAGAATTTGATCCTCTACAACTTTTATTAAGGTCATTTTGTTCTAAAAAAATGTTTAGGAAACCACCCTCATAGCACAAGTCGTACCAGGAGTTTGAGTGTGACCAAAATTGTGATTCATTATTTTGTAGCAGCATCGAAAAAAAACTTAATCACACCGAACAGTTTTTGTAGTTCTTTTTTACATATTCTAAACAGTAAAAATATTGCAACTGTAAAGTTTAAAAATATCAACTCATGTAGAAATGATTGATAATACAAATAAATAATATTGAGTTAAATGATGGAAATCAAGTTATAATACCGATTACATATTCCCACCTTAGAAATTCTGCAATGCCATTGGACAGCTGACAGCTTAAGGTCCAAGATTGTAGACAATGTCTGGGTGGTAGTGTGCTACGAAGCAATGGCACCTTGAGCTCATCTTAATATTTTTCAGGAAAAATTGAACTCTAATTTTTGTAAATTTGTGTATACATTGAAGTTTTTGTATTAATTCACAATAAATATAAGCGTATACAACATTGATACATAAGAGAATGTATAAAATTTGAAACATTCACATGCTTCATTCCACCGCCCATTATTGACCTGGAAGACACCAGGATTGACGTTCCATCTCAGCCCTTTAACAAAGTCTGCCGTAAGTCAAGTCTGGACCATTGGCCTCTCTGTATTTTCCCATCGAATATCACCACCTTTATCTGATGATCGACTTGTGTTTTTGGCATATTACTATTGATTATATTTCGTAGTTTCCCAGTTAGAATTCAATAATATTGGGAAAACATTACAGTTTCCAAAATTTGACTGGTAAATTTTGTAATTTCGCTGCTCTGCCAACAGCATCGACCACCGGCGGTGTCGTCTGCTGCAGATTCAGTATTTGAGACGACTGGGAGCTTCTTAGGAACTTATGAGTAAATTTTTGGTACCTGATGAAAACATTAATTTCTGCTCGTGGAAGGTAGTTTAGGTCCCTCTGGACATGTTTCTTACTTTGACCGAAATTTGTCCGGCATAGAGTAGTTTACGATGGCTTCCGATTTGAAAGTTGAGTGTATTTTTGAAATCGAATATGGAATACAACATATTTGGATACATGATGATTTAGAACTTGAAAATGAAAACAAAAAAAATTGGCATTCTTATCATCTGAATTATGATTAATAATTTTTGCTAAACCTTTATGTAAATGTATCTTCTGTAATAAATTAAAAAAAAAATTGTTATAGCTAGCAAAGGAAGTTTGTGAGTCATAGTGTCTCTTTGGAAAACCCAGTTAATTATAATCATTCATAAAAAAACATCAGTTTTAAAACTACTATTGTGCTTGTAAGTAAAAATACACAAAAATAAGTAAATAATCTGTTTAGTCACCTGATTTTTACAGCTCGACTCGAAATCTTATGGCAAATTTTCGAGTATTGATATCAGCAGCCTCTTCCACGTGTAAAATTTTTTATTTTTGAGCCATTTGGGATATGGGTATTGTTACATTAATCAAGATATATAATTAAATATATTTTATTACAAATACTTAAGTACAAACAATATTTAAATATAACATTAAAAAAATATACATATGTTATTTAAAATCTGTGACAAAATAAACTTCCTGAAGTATAACCTTGATCTGACTCTTTATTATTTCATGCACTTATACACCACTCTTGAACTTGATTTTTCTAAAATAAACTTTCAAAAGACAATTGGCTTTTTTAGGGTAGACATTGACCAGATTTACCAAAATTAATACTGAATGCGGGGGCGATTTAATCAATTAACACAAAAATCATTTCATTCTGAACAAATAATTAGAATCCATTTTAATTGCATGATCAAGTTTTTAATGATCGATGTTTTGCCATTAATTTCTGCCTCGCTTTCGGCAGTAACTTCGTATTATGTTTTGAATACTTTGGAAAAATATTTTATAATATCTTTTAAAACTGTTTTACATTTTTCAATATAATATTTCAAAGATCAATTTTGATATCTGCTAATTACACATTTTGAGCAGAACAAAAAAATATCCGATAATAGAATATTTAAATATAGAGTGTTTGAGATTTTGGTTCAAATGTTTGAAGAGGTACACACATAAAAGTAAGAAAAAAGTTTATATGAACATGCTATTTAAAATGCATCCTATTTAACTGCGACAGTATCCTTAGGAATCTTTTTAGAAACTATATTAATATAAACTTTTTGGCAGCACCTTTCATGCCAAAAATTATCTGTTTCACCTGAAATCGAGAAGATATCAAAATTTCTCGAGAAACAAAAATTCTTTACAAAATAGTTGTATATCAGAAAATGTAAATTATTTAGCCACACGCTTAAAACACAAGGGTAATAAAGACGTGGGTATTCCAAAAAAATAACACCCTATACTTCTTACATATTCAAGACATACATTTAATTTGAATAAACAAAAACATGTCCCAAATGGGAAATCTCAAGCTAAAACTGTTTTAGAGTGACACTGAAAAATAATATTTCATGATATCACACTTAGCAGACTATGTACCAGTAAGTACTTTTATATATAGATAAGTTGGTTAAATCATTTTATTCTGATCCCAGAAGTCTATAGTTGAGTGGTATCTAAACCTTTCTGAGACACCCTGTATAAGAGGATCAAATAATAAGAAAATATTCTGGCCGAGATTGTTATACCTGCTTATAAGGGAACACCGAAACGAAATGTATTATATCCAGGGCATCCAACCTGCCCACATTCTACCTAACAGATTATAATCGGTAGCATGATCAAGTAAACAGTCAACTTGATCTTCAACACTCAAGTTATCATGAACTAATTGAGTTCGCTTATCAAATTGTGGTAATCCGTTGACTAATTTTACATAAGCTTGTAGGCAGTGAGGTTCTTTCCGTCCCCCAACCAGATCTTCTACCAATATTTTAGTGGAGCTTGCACCTTCAAGTTTTCTCTTAGTTTGGTTCACTTTAACATTAGGGTACCAATCATGTGTTCCTTCACCTTTATTTTCAAACCTTGAAGCATGTTCCAACCAATCGAGGGAAGGTTCTTCTATGAATACGTTCATCGTGGCCAGTAGAGAATTGTGATTGGCTCTTAGAGCTCTCAAAGAATGAATCATGCACTGTCTAAATTGACCACGTTCTTTTAATGGCTCCATGAGACTTATTATATGTGGGGTTAATCGAAAAGGTACAAGTTCAGGTACCTGCAGAATCTGTGTTGCTGTACCGAAAGCATGGCCAAAGTCTATACCCAAAACTTTACCGTTTCTAACGCATACCAACGAATTGTTTAGATGTCTGTCACCTATTCCCAAAATCCATTGACTGACGCAGAGCAGCGCATAACTCTTTATAAAATTGTTTCGTAGGGCAATATAGTTTTCTGTGGTGTTGCTTAATGACCAAAAGGATTTCCTACAAAAATTAAATATTTAGACTACTAAGTGATTAAAATGCCAATTAAGTATTACACAATACTATAAGAAGTAATTTGTCAAAAGAGAGGGTTGTTTGATAACTCTGACACAAATTAGAAAAATTTCATTGCAATATAGAATCAAAATAATATGTTTGTGCATTTTAACAGGAATACGTTAATACAACAATTAAAAGATTGCTAGAATTTAGTAAAGTCGTGATACAGTTGTAGTAATTCATTATTTACCTCACTTACTTGTACACGTATTTACCTATAGTTTTCTTGTTATTTACCTGAGAATATCCCATGGAATTCTATTCACCAGGCTTCGATAAAAGGTGACGGTCTTATTCCTGTCATACTTAACTGCCGACAATCCATATTTAACAGCTGGTGTATTACCTTTACATAACCAATTAGTATAATCCTCTGGTATTCTATCAAATTCTTTAATCTCTTTTTTATTTAAGGATTTCTGTATGAAACTACTTAATGGTTGTGTATCATTAATCCACTGTATCATTCCTAAGCTGGATGTTAAGGGTATTACCTAGGAACATATTCGAAATACATCTGTTGTATTAAGTAAAATAATACAATAATGGAACAATGAATAAGTTTTCTCTGTATCTCAGCCTGTTATCCGAATTGCAAGGGTGTAGTTTAAGATGGTAACACACGTATAAAGAAATACTACAAGTTTGAAATTCAGTGTATGTTCTTTCACCGAAGTATAAACTTCTTTTTTTTTCATAGTGTTAACATGTCGTATTTCGTACCGAAAAAAGAGCATTTGTGGGGATTTTTACTGCACTACCTTATTCAAAAGAAATCTGCAGCTGAAACACACAGGATTGTTGTAGAGATTTACAGCGACCATGCTCTGTCCCAAACAACATGCAGAGATTAGTTTAGATGTTTCAAAAATAATGATTTTGATGTTGAAGATAAAGAACGCTTTAGCGCACCGAAACAGTTTAAAGATGAAGAATTGGAGGGATTACTTTATGAAGACTCATGTCAGATGCCAGCAGAATTTACAGAATCATTAGTAGTTGATCATACAACAAAAATATTTTCAAAATATTTGAAAGTATTAAGAATGACTCAAAAGCAAGGACATTGGGTGCCGTACGAATTGAAGCTAAGAGACGTCAAAAGGCATATTTGCAAGTGTAAACAGCTGCTTCAACGGCTGAAAAGGAGAGGTTTTTGCATCATATTTTAAATGACGATGAAAAATGGATACACTACGATAATCCTAAACTTAGAAAATCGTCGAGTAAGCCATGGCTCTAAGCTTCTGCTCTGCATTTGGTGGGATCAGCTGGGTCTAGTTTATTATGAACTGCTCAAACCAAATGAAACCATCACGGAAGATCGTAAGATGCGTCTGAGCCGAGCGTGAAGGAAAAACGGCCGCTATATGAGCAGAGACACGACAAAGTGATTTTGTAGCATGACAAAGCTTGGCAAAACCGGTAAAAACTTACTTGGAAATGCTGAAATGGAAAGTCCTACCCCACCTGACATATTCATCAGATATTGCCCCTTACGATTATCACTTGTTCCGTTTAATGGCCTGACTAAGCAGCACTTCCATTCTTATAAAGATGCCATAAAGTGGGCCAACTCTTGGATAGCCTCAAAGAACGTGTCCGATGTGGAATCAAAATGCTGCCAGAAAGATGGGAAAAAGTATGTCTAATGATGGACAATACTTTCGGTAACATGTTTTTTACTAATTTTTTTAAATAAAGTATCAATTTTCACATAAAAACAGCGAGAACTTATTCAACATTCCATTATATATATAATATTATTTGGTGAAACAAAATAGTTTGGTCATAGTTGCTTATGTAACCATACCAATATAAACATCCAGACAAGTTCCATACAAGTTTTTGCCATGGTACGTATTTTTCCTATAATTTTTCTATAGGCCAGAACCAGTGGCGGCGCGTGAACATTGATTGAATGTGTTCTGCTTAAGGTTGTTACATTTGTCGAATTGAATTCCGGGATATTACGTGCCCGGAGTTTCTAAATGGCGCTGCAGGCGAAAAATTTTAAAATTTTCAAGGTCACGCGTTTTCCTGGCACTTCTGAATTTCAAGGAACAATGAATTTATAAAAAAACATACAGATTTTCACAAGAATGATTTTTGAAATTGATACCTTTTTGAAATATCTATTTACGAATTACCTACTGATGGTATAATAAATTGGAATAAACTAAATATATTTTATTAAATTATTGAATATTGTTTATAAAAAAAAATCGTTTGTGAAATTTACCAACAATTCAATGAATTTTAATTTTCCTCGGCGTGTTATGATTTTTTCTTTATATTTTTTTATATATATGTACATTATATTATATTCCGGGAGTTATACGTGCAAATCCGAAATCCGGGACCATACAGCTAATTCCCGGTACAATCACAGAAAATCCCGGTCATACCAATGTGGCTGGATGTTCTTTTAAAATTTATGAGTCCACGAAACACATCAGGGTTGTCCGAATTTTCTGTCTTGTCGTGTCCGAGAAGTGCTAATTCGAAAGCTCCGCAAAATTTTATGCAATCTATGATTTTAAATAATACATGACGATTTTTCATTACCTGTTCATATGTTTCTGCTTCTTATGTTTATTTTACCTAAAGACTTAATGACTTAAATCTTTCACACTGTATATTGTCCATGCTTTATCCCCACCGAAAAGTAAGCACGGAAAACAAAACAGTGAATATTTTAAATCACACCCGCACACCCACTCTGCTTTTGTGTACACATTATTGTTTTTTTATAACTTTTACTTCTTTTATTTTTAGTTTATCCTCATAAGGCAGAGAACCAAATAAAGTTTTTTTTTAAACGAAACGCTATTCATTTTAATAACTATAATATCCGTAGACGCCTAAATGAAAATATTCACACGTGCCGCTCGCAGAAATAAACCACCACATACCACGTACGAAATATTACTGCATTTACTGCAGACTGCAGCGCAGTGGCTGTCACTATTGCAGCCGCCAAAGCCCCTATCTTCGTGTACTGGGTCACGTGCCTGATCAGCCAATAAAAACAAAGGACGCATATAATTGTTCGCTGTCCACACATTGTGTATATGAGGTTGCATATATTAAGGAGCGTAGCTCGCGTCACAATAAATAATGATATAAGCTCCTAGATTTATTTTAGCGCGAGTACATTTGGATTCTTTAAATATTTTGTTGATATTTAATATGATTAAATACATAAAATTTTATGTGTTCTGCAGCTCCGCAGCTCTTATGGTAAAACCGCCACTGGCCAGAACCAAAATAAAGTTAAGTTTGCAACGATCTTAAGATTTCAACCCTGATTCTTGGACAGCAATCACGATTCACAAAAAATCCATGTTTCTTATGTCTACAAGATGGTAGAGACAGAAATAATCACTATAAACAGAAAGTATGGCCAAGAAGAACAGATATCCATCCAGGGTTGAAAAACATCAACCGCAAACCCTTAGATCATTCAAATATTCTGGTTCTCAAATCCATACCCTGTTCAGACACGAAAAATTTATCTCAAAATTAATGATACTGAAAGAACAGTATGACTAAGTTTCTAGAAAGTCACTCAGAATTTCTTGGGAAATCAGAAGAATGAGGATTACCAGAATTTAGTTGGGGAATTGTAAAACTTCAAATAGTTGTAGTAGAGGATCCGCACTAGAAACGACTTTCACCCATCTATTTAATGAATGAAAAGTATTTTATATCAAATTTAATATATATTAAAAAATATATCTCGAGTGGGTTGGCTAAAAAATTCCTGGCCAGAGTATGATTAATTAAAAATTGAAAAATGACTTTTTATTAAATATTTCACTCATGAGTTTAACAAATATATTTAATACCAACCGAAAGTATGAAGCCTATAGATATACAAAAGTTGGGTTGTCCATTTTTTTCCTTGCGTAACTACTAGGTTGGCAGGTATAAATAGGTAAATTGATAATAGTTATTTTCACCTATTTGTTTAATAAATAAATCTTATATCAAAATAAGCGCTATTTAATTGCGAACACGATGCCATAGGGTTGTCTGTAAAAAATCTGGCCTGAATGACGGTTGTCGAGTTTTGAAAGGTGAAAATTGTATGCAAATGGAAATTTGTGACAAAGAGGACCGAGCTAAATATTCTGTCACAAGTTTCCACTCGCACCTTTCAAAACCCGACAACCGTCATTCAGGCCAGATTTTTTACAGACAACCCTATGTCATCATGTTTGCAATTAAACAGCGCTTATTTTGATATAAGATTTATTTATTAAACAAATAGGTTAAAATAACCGGTATCAATTTACCTGTATATACCTGCCAACCCAGTAGTTACGCCAGGAAAACAATAGACAACAACGTTTGCATATTCTATAGGCCTCATACTTTCGGTTGGTATTAAATTTATTCGTTAAACTCATGAGTGCAATATTTAATAGTCATTTTTCAATTTCTAATTAATCATACTCTGGCCAGGAATTTTTTAGCCTCAACCCAATTTTCTAATATATTAAATTTGATATAAAATACTTTTCATCCGTTAAACAGATGGGTGAAGGTCGTCTTTAGTTCGGATCTCTAATCATTTGTCAATAAATAATGTTAAAATGGAATGTTATTTTAAAGTTATGGTCATAATTTGGAGTAAATAAAATTAAAGTTGTTGGAGTTATGCTGAGTGTCATTTCAAAAAATCGTGTTTCGAGAAAAATGCCTTTAAAGTTTTGAGATATACACTATACAATGTACTTTCCTTTGAAAATACTTCTAATTGATCACTCTATGTGCTTCAGGTAATCGTTTCAGAACAGTCAACTTGGAAAAGAGCTGGGAATTTCGAACAAGAATATTTTGTACAGACATTAAACTGTTTTCCTCATATTCTAGAAGGTTCAAAGCATCTTTTAAATCGATAAAAGAAAACATGATTTTCTGAAAATTATAGAATTATACAGCTTCACAAAACAAGCAGTATGCTTTCATATGGATGATACCAATTCTAATAAATGTAAGATCGAAGCCTGCAACCTTTTGAGGAAGCAAAATTACTAAAAAAAACTTAACTTGGTTTTAGTTTCATCCAAACATAACCCATTGTTATATAGAAATCTAAATTATTAATTACATTACTTAAGAAAACTAGCAGTTGAAAATTATACCATGGCAGTAAAGTATTAACAAATTCATTTGGTTGCATCTTAGCTTGACTTTGTCTTCAACATTCAAACTGGTGGTTACTTTAGTTTAATTAAATGAAAGATTTAATTACCTCATAAGTTAAAATTTCTAAATTAGTTACGCGACAGGTTGCATCATTTTTAAAAATACCATTCATTAGCCCAAACAACTGTTCTATTCTTTGATCCTGACGGATATCCTCGCCAAATTTGATTAAAAATGGATATTCTTTTGTATCAATTCCCACTATTGTTAATTTTATTGGTTTTCTTATTGACTTCATAATAATCACCTTTAAAAAGAATTATATACTGGATATCAAAAAAGTTATTATTGTACTTACATTTGGATAAAATCCTGATATTTTAATATGATGTTGTGGTAAAGGTAACTTATTTCCATTGTATTGACCAGGAATTTCCAAGTCAAGGTTAAATTTGTTGGCAGAAAAATTTGCTAACCATGGACAATAATCTTTAAGAAGAACTGAATTTTTTTCAGATTGTAACATACATGATAGTTCTTCTTCAATTTTTTTTAATTCATCTTTCATCTTTTTTGAAGCTGAAAAATAAGAACATTATTTTTTTTTCATATTGCATATTTCACCAGATTTACTCAAAATTTTTTGTATTCTCCTCTTATATTTATCTATATTTTTGAACATATTGCCTTGCATGCTATTCATATTCTTGGAATTAGGTGTTTCTGTGAATATATTAGTTATAACACTTTCTTGAACAGCTATAACCTCGCTTTCCTTCTGTGACTTCATTTTACCGACATAATATTTTAGCATTGCAGCAGGTACAGTAACATAAGACAGTGCCTTTAAGAATTTATCAACCATTGGATCGTTCAGCAGTAGACAATCAAGCCTAAATATATAAAATTAATCAATTCGTAATAATAGCAAACGAAACGGTATGATTATGTGAACCATGCTACTGGGAAAGTTATTGAATAATTTATACAGCGCATTCCAATTTACCGAGCCTTCATAAATGTTTACAAGCCACGTGACCGCCGGCATAGGCAACCAATTAGTTGAATACAATCTTATGAAAAATTACACTAATCTCCAGCCAGTGAAAAATAATGTTACGGATTAATGTAATCTTTATCTTGTTTTAATTTTACAGAAATTTAATCACCAACGTGAAGAAAATAAAATTACTGTTCCAAACAAAATTATTGGTCATGTGGCTTGTAATCATTTATGAAGGCTCTGGATATGTAGAGATAAATATAAGTAAAAAAAATAAATGAAAATTTTTTTTATCAAATAGTTCCTAATAATGAACCTGTTATGACATATAACATGTTATTCTATAGCCCTCAAAAGGTTTCCTTACCAATTTCTATAAAGATCTATTCAATTTTAATTTTATATAACTATTTAAACATGTAACACAAATTCCAAGTGTATTTTAATTAATTTTATTTTTTATTAATTTAATAATAAGTTTAAGATTCGCATATTTGAGGGAGTTATAGTTTTCTAAATATGCTCATTCTTTATGGATAAATTTAATAAGAAAAAAATTAAATCGGAACACACTGTAAATCAATGTGATACTTACTTTTTTATTAATAACTGTGTATCTTCTGCCACTTCACTGTCTTTTAAATTATAGTGCTCCTTACTTAGTCGATAGGGATACATTATAGCTTGGGGATAAGTTTCAGCAATTTTTAACACAATTTTTGAAAGTGCATATATTTTTTTAGTATCTAAATTCGCTAGCAACTGGGGTATCCAACCCAAAAACATCCAAGTTGGAATTTTTTCAGTCTGTAAAAGAATTGGAAATAATTTAACAAAGTTATCTGCTTCTAGTTGCAATAATTATTGTTCGTCATAACTCCCATACAATACGAAAATATATATATATATATATGACTAAGATTAGTACTTATTTATTTTAGCTTCAGCTCTTCATATTGAAAAAAACAGTGTGAGAATAGACTCTTTTCGTGTGAGGTCATATATTTAGGCAACCCGCAACAATTTGTCATAGCTGAAATTGTACAGACCGAATCTGACCCTTGTGTACTATTTACTTACTATAAAAATGAACAACTTCAAAGTAATTTATTTTTACAAGAATTTAGAAGTATTTAAGAACAACCAACACGTGTTTAGTAAAATAGGTACACCAATGTACTCACCAATGTACTTACAAAAAAGATATAAAAGAATATTCCTAATTTAAATAAAGTAAAAATTTAACATTAGCTGTGTTATTTCTAATGCGCCTGCTCGGAAAGAATAGCCTCATACGCAGGTGAGATCTTGTTGATATATTATCGATGTTATCATTAGCGTATTTTCTCTTCTTTGGTTTAATCTTCTCATTTTTTAGTTTACTAAGTATTTTTATTATTTTTCTTGGTGTTGTGCTGTGTCAGTGTGTTTATCGAGTGTTTTTTTCTTCAAGTGGGTACCAAACTTTTATTGATGGATCTCCTGTTACCAACCTACTTCGCTTACATGAAATTATTTTTAATGTACATGCTCAGTAACATTGATTTAATTTTAATTTATTAATTACTATAAAAGTCAATATTGTTCTATAAATTTAAATATATTAATTCTATAATTCTTTTAGTTCGTCACTTGGGGTTTGAATCTTCTTAAGGAGGTTTATCTGATTTGGAATTGACAAAGAAATATTCATAAAAAAAATAATATAAGCTTATTAATATGCAGAAAATCCTCAAACAAAATTATGACTAGTTTGGATACCTAAGAGATGCGATATTAATAAAATAATTTTTCACAATTTAGTACAGTCTTATGAGAAAGCAGATTTTTTTGGTCTTTCCACTTAGAATATGCAACAATTAACGAACAGTTTCCACAGCAACTTGTATAAATAGGAAACCGATATCTAAGGAATCGTATGACAGTTCGTAGAAATCGATTAGATACTTGTAAGATACATAATTTATAATTCTCCTTCAAACTGCTGTCGTTGACTAACTATATGCGTGATAGCGATATCGAAGTAGCATATTATTTGAAATTCGCAGGTGTGACATGTGATGTATATTTTAAGCTTAGGCATCCAAACAAAGCCAGCCATGTGCAACATTGCCAAATCTAAAGGCTTACTACTTTAGTCACTGCAGAAACTTTCGTTAGAGTTTAGACGTACCTCCGTACCCGATAAACCTCCTTAAATATTTCTAATATTGCCAGAATATAACGATATTTAAGGTCAGGACAGACATTTTTTTGGCACTTATGTCCCAAGTACGTAAGGTCGAAAATTGATCTAGTAAAAATATTGAGAAATTCTTCATGACATTGTGCACTATGGGGTTGCCTATTATTTGGCGTATGTGATGTCACTATAATTAGGTGTATTGTGTTACTTACACACATTATTTTGTTTATAATATGTATTTGTTTATAATATGTTTATAACAGACTTGCAGAGGTTTTAATTAACGTCTTACGAGGAGTGACTTTTAATCATAATAATAATAATAACAAGACAGAAAAACTAATGTTTCTTATTATTTTATTTCTGTGCTCGCACATTCGTTCCAAGTCTCAACAGGTGGATTATTTATCTGATCAAGACATTATGATTCAAAAATTGTATCTCTAATGTCAGTGTTCTCCATCAGTAACACTTATTGTTTTTGCTAGAAACTTAAAAAAACTCTAGACTGTGTCAGCCTCTGTAACTCGTAATATACAATGTTATGCTCTCAAATCTAGTTCAGGTCATCAAAAATCAAATAGCACTTTACAGTTCACGTTTTTTTAAGTTCAAAAACGTAGACAAATTTATCATTTATATCAGATTAGCTGAAAGTAAAGCAGGTGTTTTTAAGTACCACTCCATATAACATATTGAAAAAAGTAGATTTGTGTTTGTCTATAGATACCTATATTTCAAAGAGCTTATAATTCACATAAATCTGCTGACACATTCGCCCATCATGAAACCTATCACATAAATTTTTTAATTGATTTGATTTAAACCAAATTTCATTACCTGTTGGTTTAATGGTAAAACACAAAAGGATAAATATAGAACAGTATTCCACGACTGTGGACATGGAATTATATTATCAAAAAGTCTCATAAGTTATATTATTTCTCTTTGCATGTAATCGGCATTTGATGCGGACACAGAGATTGAATGAACTGAGAAAGAACTTTAGACATGTATCAGGATAACTGGTCTTTGGGCCTAAATAAACGTTTAGGAATTTAATTTCCAACTTTTATTAATCACTTAGTGTGAACAGTCTAATGGCGAACCTCAGTAACAACTAACTTATTTAGCAAAATCGAATCGGCATCGAGACATTCAATGTTTATGTAACCGAGAATGTTTTATAAACACACGCTGGGTACCCAACGCAAGATTAATAATAATGTTCCTTTAAAAATCTGACACATGGCAAGTCTTTTTTCATAAACTAAAATTTCAAATAGGAAAATTAGCTGTAATTTTTTTTTCTGTAACATAATTATTATACATGTAAGCCACTGCATCACTGTTTACTGCCAAAAACACATTGCAATCGATATCTAGATATAGTACTCAATTTTTTTTACACAAATTTGTTATATAAATTTTCACGAAAACCGAAGCAAACACTATCTTGACACAAATTTACAATTATTTTTAGAAATTGTTCAAATCAGTCTTCTTATATATATTTATTATGAAAAAATATCAAACAGAATTTGGTTGTGGTAATGAACAAAAAGGTCAATTTTGTTTTAGTAGACTAATACAATCAACAAGTCTTTGATGTTTATTTTGACTTACCTCATCAATAAAAAGTTGAGTATAATCAGTTCCCAGTCGATTTTGTATTAATATGCAGGGGAAAAGCTGTTTTGCTTCCAATGAATTTAATTTCATTGCTCTAAGAACGTATAAAATAAAATCTCCCTGAAGTAGTTCATCATTCCTATCTCTGATGAAGTATGCTAATTTAACAAATGCATTTGCAATATAATTAATTTTAGAAGACGTACAAATACTATTGTTTTCGCAGTCCATATCACCAGCTGCTTCAATGTTTTCAACAGCTAATTGTAATTTGCTCGATGCATATGTGTTTATATCTTCGGGAGAATTAACTTCAGTTCCAAAACTTGCTATAAGCTTTTCTTGAAATTGGGGCAGCAATGCTTGGTTATTTGTTAATACATGTGAAATATTGGTAACTATATCAAAATATTTTATATTAGCTGGTAGCAACACAGCTTTATCATTTACTTTTCTGAAGAGTGATCCTAAAATAGAAATTAGCTTAATTAGAGAATATCTAATAAATACACTTCCTTAGAAAAGCGGATTTTTATAGGTTGTTATAATTACCAGAAGTACGTAATACAAAATTTCAATATAAAAATAATTGATTATTGATTTCCATATGAAGGGTACAGGCAAAGAAGGCGCTATGTCAATTTTTATCGAAAACAAGGTATTTGCGCCATCTAATAGTCGGTGTATACTATCTTCCCATAAATGCGTCATGGCTCAAAATGCGTTAGGTCAGGAATAACAGATTATTTAAATTTCTCTATACCGGCTAAAAAGGTGCTATGTCCGCACGGTCCTAGAGAAAAAGGCGTCAAGTCATGTTTTGCATGTGGTGGACAACGAACCGCTCAAGCAACAGTAGTTGATGTCCATTCTTCGTACAACAATAACTTTTTACAAGTAGTTTGGTGTAAATTATTAATTTACTAACAAAATACGAAGTGTAATGGAGGGTGAAGCTGATGACAACACCTTCTAGTGTCCGAATATTAGGGATAGTAATAAAAAAAGAAAGTATGGTAAATTAAATGAAGTAAATTTGAGTAGCCATACTACAGGAGAAGACTGTAGATGTAAAAGATTTAACTGCTTTGAGCGTGTATCAGAACCTTCTCGAAGAAGAATTATTCAAAATTTTAATTTACTTAATTCAGTTGATGAACAAAATATTTATTTGTGTGATTTAATTACTACTGTGCCTATTAAGCAACAAAGATTTTGTGGCTTAGCTGCCCAAGAGTACTTTAATCAGTTGCCATATTTAGATGAGAGCTAATTACATTTTTTTTTACTTACAGTATGGTAAGCTTAATAAAGGTCCTATAAAATTTGTTCCTGATGGAATATTTTTTTAGATCTGCTATGCTCCAATACAAAAACAGTAACAAACCTCCACAAGTTGGAAATATTCTGCAGTTGATTGTGACCCGAAAGGAATTCCTAAGTTCAATATGTTTTGTTTCATTTTTGAAAAATGTTTATTTTTTTCTATTCCTGAGTATGTGCTCTCTAAACTGAATTGTATCCAGCCCAATGCTTAAATACATTTATAAAATAAGTTGTGGTACTTTATTTTCAAATAATAAACGAATACCAGAGGTGCCAAACCTTTAAATTAATTTTTCTCGAAACTAATTATTTTCACCTAGCGGCTTCTTTGCCTGTACCCTTTATATGTATTTAAACAGCACCTTCATGATAACTATAACCAAGTGTGACTGTATCAAAAAAAATTACAACTCTATACCCGATGTCAATAAGTTTACATATTAATCAATCTATTATTTTCATATATAGACATTGGCGGCTCGTGACATTGACAATAGGTGATGCATATTTATTGAGTGACTAAAAAGAAAAAAAAAAGCGCCGCAGGCGAAAATTTTCAAATTTTCAGTCAAACGGCTTTAAATGAATCTGGAAATTTTTAGTTGCATTTGCAATATTACCGAAAAACTGACGTTCACAAGAAGGATTTTTGTTTAGATTTTATAAAAAATAGAAATATTAATTCGGCTTGTGGACTTCTGCGAACATTAACGCACACCGTACATTCATGTAGTTCCAAAGAAGCTTGGTGGTTACAACAGCCTCGTGCGATGTTCCCAAAATCGTTAAATCCTCCTTATTCCACACACCCGACTTTACACTCACAATTAAACACGGCATACAGAAAAGTTTTTTTTAAATAAACACTTCCACATAACCACTTATACTCTGAATATCATTTATTCCGAAACTTCCGTACGTACATTGTCTTTTGACTTCCCCTTTTTTACATATCGAGAAAATAAGGCACAGGTCCCTCGCAAATTAAAAAATTCTTTTTGTCTTCAATTTTCCATCTGGAAAATGGCATTTCTAATAAAATACATACTGGATCATACATAGGAAACATTTCTACAATTATTATACAAAACAAATATTAACTAAGAACCGTTATAATCTTGCACTGGGCGATGTGTATCGTATAAACTGTTTAAAGGCAGGCAATGCCGCGATGGGTGATGATAACGCTGCTTCAATTTCCACGTCACTCGTTCCTCCACGCAGTAGTTTATTCCCGTGTTGGCCGCTTCGTTGCCATGTCAACCGCCGTAAAGAACACTACGAAGGGAAGAGGAATAATATAGACTGATTTCGATCCACGTCACTTGCTTATACTATATGTTGTATGGTACGAGGTTGATGTTCACACTCAACGAAGACAATGTTTTTATAGAAGGCGTTCACTGCGCAACTATTCTTCTTATTTCTGCATGTTAAACAAACAAACACAATACATTTTCAATATAGAATTATGCCTAAATTACAAAATTTATATAAAATTGAAAATAAATTGAAATTGCACAACCAAACGGAAATTTTAGGTGAAGCAGTGCATCACTTGTGTCACCTGGCGAGCCGCCTCTGTATATAGATATTGTTTAAAAATTTTAGTTATACCACTGACTAATGTACATTACACATGTTCAACGTTTGAGTATCTGTTTCAGTTTGACGGCAAATGCTATCAATTTATTATTGTTTATGGATTAGGTATAGTGTTTACGAAGATGCCGACTTTTAGTTTTTATACGGTTTCAACTATTTTCGTAAACATCTTCGTAAACACTATACTTCACACATTTTTTTTTTCAAAATTTGGTTTGTATGAAAAATTTTAAATATATAAACCCCAAGTAATCTAAAATGTTTAGGATTTACTTTTTAAATTTCATTTAATCTAAAACTTAATCATGCGACCAAAGACGTCTCTGTGGAAAATCGGCTCTACTTACTAGTTGTGGGTACATGTTTTAAAACTTATTTGTTTTTAGGAATTTTTTTCTGAAAATATCCTAAGAGAAACATTCTTTATAACTATAATCTTTATACATAACCAGGAGTAAAAGTTATAAATGTTACATTAATTTCAAACGCTCTCCCTTTAAAATTTTAAATAACGAGGCATATCCACAAAGTAAGAGTATTGTTAGTTGGCAACACTGCATTCAAGGCCAAGGTGTTGAGCACAGAATGCGTGCTGCTCATTTCTCTGTCAGTTGAGAACTGGTGTTGAAATGAATCCCACCAGCTGCAAGGTGAGCATCATAATCTGGTTTGTTCTTGCAAAGGTAATGGCGCCGTTCCAGATTTTTCTCAAGCACTTCTAACTAGAAGATGAACAATCAATGCAGTGGCGACATCCATCTTCACTATCAGCTAAAAAATTAAAACCCGTTGCTTCGGCCCGAAAAATCATGGCGACTGTGTTTTGGGACCGTAAAGGAATTCTCCTCACTGACTTTTTGCCCCAGGGGGAAACAATTAATGCTGCATGGTATTGTGAAACTCTCAAAACACTACGGAGGGTGGTACAGAACAAAAGATGGGGAACGTTAATAAAGTGAGTGTGCTTGTTGCATGACAATGCACATCCCCATACAGCCAAAGCCACAAAGCAACTCTTGGATTCGTTAGGTTAGAACATCATCAATCATCCCGCTCACAGTTCTGATCTGGCACCTTCTGATTTTCATCTGTTCTCTTCTCTGTAGGTGTTTATGGGTGGAAAAAAGTTTTCTACCGGCCACGAGGCCTACTTCAGTACCATGAAACAATGGACTGGAGGAGTCGCAGGAGATTTTTTTTACAAAGGTATCAAGAAGCTCATCCTTCGGCTCACAAAGTGCATTGAGGTTGAAGGCGACCATGTCGAAAAATAGTGTTTAATGTGCCTCTCTGAATATGTAAATTTTTCAAATATACTGCCGTTTCGATTTTTAAAAAATTGAGTACTCTTACTTTGTGGATATGTCTCATATTTTAGATTACTTAAAAAACATTCTGTACAACTTGAATCATAATTTTACACATTGAGGAGTTAAAGACATGATTACAAACGATATTCCATTTTAAAGAAAAAATTAACCCCTTTGCCTATTTTTAAAGAAAACATTTCTCTTAGGATTTACTGGATGTTATTTCACTTTTGTTAGTCCATTCTGTGTATTAATATTTTTACACTTACCAAAAATATCTACTGTTTGGATCAAGGCCTTCACTTGTTCTTGTGGATCCGCTATTGTTTTCGACTTAAGAAAAGCGATGTTACCAAAAGCCAATTGAAATTTAAAATTTTCTTGGGTAGCATATTTCTTGAAATATTTTTTTGATATATAATAATTATTTAATTCTATTGCAGCCTCAATTAAAGACAAATTTAAGTTTGTTTTTACTGATTCTATATTTTCAACACATTGGTTAGTGTCAATAAATTCAAATTTTAATATTTTTTCTTTTAATAAGTTTACAAATAACGTTCTATATAATACTCTAGTTTCATTTAGTAAGGCTGATGGCATTATTTCATTTGATGTATTCTCCCAAGTGGTGGTCAATTTCTTTAAGGAATTTTCAAAATCATCAGATAAATTTTTGTAAGTTGTTATGAACCCATCAACTTCAATAACATTCCTCAACCGTAAAATCTTATCGTACCTTAAAGATTCATACATTGGATTTAATGTTTGCCAATTATTTAGAAAATTCTTTATATAGCTGTTAAGATAGAGAGAACTACTTGCAATATCTTTCTTGAATAGCCACATAATGGATATTTCCTCTGAAAAATTTGTTTGTATATATTCTGCTTTTTCTGCAGAACTAAGACATTCATTTAAGTTATTAGAGAATTCCTCAGACCATTTCTGATTGAACAATGTGTACTTAACTTGTGCCTCAATATACCAAGGTAATAATTTTTGCTGACACCAATCTTTATCCCAAAGGATGGTCCAAACATTGTCCATTTTTGGAGAAGCAATTACAGATTCTATTGCTTCGGGTAAAGTCTCCCATTCTCCTAAATTAGCAAAACACTTAAAATAAGAATCATAATAGAAATCTTTCCTCTCTGCTGATACATCAGTTTCTATAAGTTCTGCATATAGTTCTTGAGCAGCTCGCCATTGCCCCTCAGATTCGAATTGTATTGCTTTTTGAACAATATCTTTACAATTCATTTTTTCTAGAAATATTGATCTAACCATATCCCATTCTTCTAACTCCTTATAAAGCCTAAAATATTATATAAATTGTAAAAAAATAAATATGGAAAGTATTAGAGACACATTGCAAATTTAAGACCACATATTAATTTTTATATAGATAATTTATTATTGAGTAGATTCTCATATCTGTCTTTAGAAAAATGTAGAACATTCCGTGTACTTTTATATATGGGGCGTTCCACGCCAAATCGGACGGTTCGAAAAATTTTAATTTTCGATTTCCTTAATTTTTTTACATTTTTTAGTACCCCTCAAAAAAGCCTTTCTGGTAAATTTTCAGATTTTTTTGATTACTTGTTCAAAAGGTATAAAATTTTCAAAAAAACGCTTTTTTTTGTTTTTTGATCATAACTTTCTTAATAATGGTCCAAATTAAAGCTTTTTTTTATAAAAATATTTGTTTTTAGATGGCCTTTACAGATAAAAATACAAAAGAAATATTCAAAGTGTTTTNATATATATATATAAATTAGTATGCATTCTTATTAACTGTCTTGATTAGTTGTATCTAATGAATTTTCATATAGGTACCTTGTATAGATGTAGTTTATTTTATCTACCTATCCCACAATCTAATTAACTTATTAAATATATACATCCATAGTGTTATCTTGATCCAAATTCCTTTTTTTTAATAATTGTGCCATACATTACAAAAAAAAGTTTATACTTATCAAATGTAAAACTAGAAATTTAAGATAAACACTGAAAGCAGTTATTTAAGTGAAACGCTTTGCTAAGATATTTTAGTTAGTTTCGCTGAAACGCATTTGCTACCACAATTTTAATTAGTTGTCAATCTGTTCCAACTGAATTGTTTCACTCAGGTGAGTGTATGTACTTTCTTGGAATTTATTCATTTAGGAATAGTTAGTTCTTATTTGTGGCAAATTAGGACACACTTAGTGTCACCGAGGCCTAACTTAAAATTTTCCTGAATTAACCGCAATTTGTCTCAGTGCACCTATGTGTATGTCAACCATACTGCAACTGAAACCACTCTTCTTCTCCAAGATCCCAGATTCCTCTCAGTTAACACATCGAAAGACTCTAGTGCACATGTTCGTCCTAGTGAACAGCAACTAATTTTCCGTTGCTAACTCCCATATTTTGGTTAACAAACAACATTGAGGCTGCAGAGTACCTCTGCATATTGTATACATTTTAGCAAGTGCTAGTAGTAAAACTTCGTGCTCCAGACCAGTAGCCAATGCATCGGGAATAAACACGAGGCTGCATACCGCATGCAGTAAGTACCTTCCTCCTTATTCTTTATACTTTTAACGGTTATCTTCGTTTCTCAGTAGTAATCTACATAGGGTTCCCGAAAGCTAACCGCTCCACCAGAGAAGTTACCTCGCTTCATTTTTATAGTACCGTCATTATGCATATTCTATTATTTTGTAATGCTGGATTGCAGCAAAAGGATTGCAGATTTATATTGTGTATTTATTGTTACCTTTGCTGAGAATAGAAAATTAAACAAAACAACATAGTTCTATGCACATTATAAAAAATATTTATGTATTGTTTAACTCACTACCAGAAATTGAATTTCTCACTTACTGACTTGGGACAACAAAATATCACTACAAGGAAATAAGTTACTTGTTTTGTGTGGGTAAGATGCTTGGGCTTATGAAGAAAGTAACAATCCTCAGTGTTATTAATATGTGTTTTAATATTAATAATATTTAGATACAGCCTTTTCAATTTTTATTTTAGATAATTATAAGTATATATTTATTTACAAGTTTACTTCTTTTGTAAAACCAATCTCAATTAACATATAAAAGTTTAGAATTAGGGTGATAGTATGCTATAAGTTTAATAATTTTATGTTGATAGTTAAATGTGGATCAATAACACATCCACACAACAAAAAACAAATGTTTTTTTAGTCAGAAGGTCAGACTATGTCTACTATATGTTTTAGGAGTCGCTGAATCCGAATCCGTGATCCATTTAACCCCGTCAAGTCAGGTTTTATCGATAATCCCATATCACCTCATAACTCATACTATCAAGTCTTATTAGACACAACGGTCCTGTAAAGGAAGCTGTGCACCCACAATAACCCCATAATTCTATACATTTAACCTCAAACCTCCTAACCCCATAACCATATATTCCCATAACCCCATAACCATGTTACTCAGTAGTTTAACTGGCTCTTTCATCGGGGGGATATATCAGGACTTTACAAACAGAATATATTTAACCCTATAATCCCCAACCCCATAAATAATGATGGAATTTACTGTTAATTTATCTTGTAATTTGCATCCTCTTGACAGTAATTCTTAATTTAAAAAAAAATATCCGAAAATAAATACTTACTCTGCTAACTTCACCCAATATACAGTTTCTGTATTTTCTTCAGTACCTGCTCCTTTTTTGCTTCCAGATGGTAAGTCATCACAACTAATGAGGTATTCTTCCAAAAGTAAAGTTCCAATAGATAATAAACCACTTTGTTGACAAACGTAGGATATTAATTGTGGTTGACCAAAATGAAATTTGTCTTTATGCCTTAGCAATATATCTAAGAGGGTACTAATTAAGTTTGGATTGAAGTTTGTAGAATTTTGAAAAATATATTGAATACTGTTAAGAATCGAATTCATAAATAAATCATTGTTTCCAATTTTTAGAATGATACCTTTAAAAATCTCTGTTAATAATATTTTTGCCACTTCACCATCATGCTGAAAAAAATATTTGTACAGGCGTTACGAAATAGTCTTTTAGTACAGATTCTTTGGGCAAAAATCATGGAGACTACACAAGGAGCACGAACTCCATGTAAACAAATATCTTACCAAATTAAATATATACCGAAATAGTGGAAGGGAGATAAAGAAAGTGGCAGTTTGAATTAAAAAATTAATCACGCCGTTTTTATGATGTGTTAAAAATTTTAAAATAAATAATGTAGGCTACATTGAATTAAATAAATAAATCAATAAATAATAAAAATATGTCGGTGCACAAAGAACACTATATAGCGACCCTAGCAGTAAAATCTGTAGGTAATTTCTATTATTACATTGACAAATTTTGTCAATTTTCCCGTATGAGTTTCTTGTCTAGTCTCCCTGGCAAAAATGATGGGACTTTCCATGTCATTTTTCATTTGGACAAGTCTTTTTCAAGATACAGGGTGTTATTAATAACAGCACTCTAGAAGTTGAAAAAAAAGATGATTGTCGGGGATTTTCAAGGAAAAGTCGATACAAGATATAATGTCAAGTACAAAATGGTTTTATTGTACTGTTTTCAGTTAGTATTGCAAATTTTTTCAAACGATTTCAATTCAAATTGGTGACTGTAGGTGACGGTAAGCAACGACACCTTATTTTCAAAGGGTTGTATGGCCGAAAGGGTTTCCTATTAAGGAATGGTCTTAGAACAAAAAAATAAACATTTTCTGATATTGTATACTAAAAGCTAAGAAACATCGTTGGGAAATTAAAAAATATTAATAATTATTAATTTAGTGCACACTTAAAAAAAAAGTAAAGTAAAAAGACAAAAAATTTTGCATTAAATTGTTAATAACAATGAAACTTGTTTGAAAAACATACAATGTTCCCTGAGTTATGTATGTTATTGTGAAGCTCTGCACAAAATTTCAAGTTGATTTCTTGAAAACTTTTTGAGTTATGTTTTTGGAGAGTTAGAAGTTGTGCAATTTAACCATTTTCATTTTGGTGAGCCGTCACTGATTTTTTAATACTAATTTGGTTGCTAGACATTATGCATAAATATATTTCTATATATATTAAAGGTACAGTGAAAATTGGTTATAACGACATGGCTTTGTACGACATATTGGATATAACGACGGAATATATGGCCTTAAAACCAATGCACCACTCTTCCGCCCGCCCTGCCGACATCCACGTTTTTGACACCAGTTAGTACGTTTGGGACAAATTATGACTTATTTACGCATACAGTTATATATTATATGAATTAATTACCGCTTCCTATCACGATGTCGAAGAGAAAAGTGTTTAATAAAGAAGAAAAATCACATATAATATAGAGATTAAAAAACGGAAAAACTAATGCAAGCAAGCAAAAGCATGTGGCGTGTCACCCTATGATTTCAACAATTTGGAAGAATAGAAATAAAGCAAAGTCTCTATTTGTAAACAATTCATTGAAAATGACGCGTGCGAGATCTATTGAACACAAAGCAATACATGTACATATTTAAAGACTTGTATTGTAAATTTTTCATTTTTTCTATAAAAATTTTAAATAAAATATGTAATCGCTTATTACGTCTATCGGTTATAACAACTATAAGCAAATGGTCCCTTGAAGGTCGTTATAACCGATTTTCACTGTAGTTTTAATTTTTTATAAATAAACCACAAAATAAATTTGTATACGAACGAGAAATTAAAAGAAATAAATATACGAAAAAATAATACCTTTAAATCATATATCTTAAATTATATCTTAAAAAAAACAAGTTAATAATAAAAAATCTTTTTTTCCAATTGCACTTTAACACTTTTTATCTTCAAAAAAAAAGTTGTCCAAATGAAAAATAGCATAAGGAAAGTTTTTTGATAACATCCTCTAGATGACACTCCAGGGCTATCAGAAATTTTTGTCATGGTTCTAGCATCGATGTCACGTAACTGCATTTATAATGCACGGTTTTATTCTCACAATAATATTACAGTTTAAACAGACATGAGTGGACAAAAAACACTGATTCATTTTGCTTTATTTTTTCTTATTAAACAAAAGTAACCCACCTTTATCTGGGACTACAAACTCATAGGCTTGTGGTGGCCATAAAACATTCATCATTATTTTTTGTCATGACAAATTAAAATAGATATACTCGACGGCCAAAATTATAGATAGTGATTCATCTCTAGCTCTTGGACTAGTAAGGGGGATGAAGCGTGCCGGGAACGAAAATCCATTGGCGTGTCTGCGTAAAAGGCAACAAGATATAGAAAATATTGAAAAAACATAATAAAACATAACATCTAATATTTTTACGGTTTGCTATAACCGGCATTTTGATCAATTTTAATTATTACAGCATTTTAAAACGTCCCAGTTGTGTTTTTTAATTTATAAATTTATTATAGCCATGGAATTAGACCCCTCGTCTACGCTTATGCTATGAGGTTTCTCAGGTCGGGCAAATCAAGTCCGTTTACACCCACTAAAAAAGCATTTCCCTATTCCCTACCAAGTGCAAAAGACAGAGATAAAATATAGATCGGTTCAGTGTAACTCAGTCTATACACGATTATAGATTCTACCGATGTGCATGGCGAGCGGCACAAAGATAAATAATATTGCACCGTATAGAAATAATTTTATATTTTATAAGCATTATGGTAATAGTGTTTTTATATTATGTATTAGTCACTCTTTATAATTTCGGCCGCCGAGTATAGATAAATATTAACGATATTATTTACCCAAAATAAAATCTCGGTAATCAATACCAATATGTACTAATTACCAAATTAACAACAAAATTAACAAGTCTACATTTTTAAAACAAATCTTCCCTAATAGTAATTCTAGAGAAAAATTTTCATTAATCATCAAAAAAAAAATTAATTGTACTGAAGTATGAGGTTATATTACTTTTCAAAAGTAAGTATTATTATTATATTTCTTATATATGAGAAGCTCAATCGATCATTTATTAAATGAATATTAAAAATATTCAAAATAGAATAATTTATTTAAATGATAGGTACTTCAAAAGGAAATAACTGGTTTCACTTTTCCAGTATTATATTACTTAAATTCTATATAAAAAAACTTACCAAGGACAGCATTTGCAATGGTTCCAAAACTGAAGACAGTAAAATTTGAATATCAGGAAAATCACCTTTTCTATAGCTTCGATAAATAGTAACTTTCTTTTCCCTTTCTCTGGCCAAATCCTTTCTTTTTTCTACCTTTTTGATTTGTTTTTTTATCTCATGATGTGCAGAAATAATAGATATTTTAGATTTATCCTTTAAGAACCTTCTCTTTGGCAAGCGATATTTTTGTGACAGAATTAGATCATTGGGATTTTTTATAGAACTTTCCGTATCGGTAATGCTAACAGAAAGAGAACTATCTAAGTTTGTGTACTTTGAAAATTCCTGTTCCTTCAAGCTCAGAGTTGGGGAAAATGATAAATTAGCCTGTGTCTCCTTAAGTTGGAACAAATTTGAATTATCATAAAAATCACTGTTTTCAGTATTAGCAAGAGTTTCTGCAAATAAAGGGACAACTGATGGGTGTTGCAATCGCCAATTCAGTTGAAGTCGATAATCCTCAAAATTACAATCTTCTAATGGATGCTCAAATATCACAGTGTTATATTCATCTCTTGTATTTAATACCGTAATAAGAAAATAGTTTACATAGCTTATGAAATAGTCTTCCATTTTGGCTTTATAAAGATTTGAAAGCAAGTAAGAAAATCTATCCACTACAGTGTTAGGTAAATCCGAATTTTCTTTCCAGAAATTGATAATTTTTTCCTTATTATCAGCATCTTCGTCTACCAGACCAAAAATAAGTATTTCTTTACAAATGTCCGATATATCTTTATTCTCTTTATACACTGCAATAGCTATGTCATAAATGCAATTACGGTATAACGTATTTGGATTGGTAACATTCCTTCCAAGAGTTTTAATTATATTTGGATAATTTTGATAACTCATAAATATACCCAAACATGTCTTAATAATTCTTAGTGTAATTATTTGTATTTCTAAATTAGCATGTTCTAAGAGATTACTCCATTCAACAATTTTAAAATCACTTATTTCCTCGAAAATATCCAGTGACATTTCAACTCTTCGAAATATAATTTTCAAATGTACAATTTTTTGAGCATCTGGAAACTGGTTAAGTGAACTAATCAATTTAGATATATGATACACATTTACTAATTGAGGGAAATGTATGGCAACACCTAAAATAAAAGCAATAATTTACGTAATATTTATCATATCCATAAAAATCTATTGATTTGATTGGTGTCATTATTATTTTTTTATAAGCAGACAGCATTTCCCAATATAGATTGTTGCAAAATTCCAATAAAATTATACAGATGACTTTCTGGCTAAAAATAAGAAAGTTCACAAATATTTTGTTCTTGAAACAGATAATGATAAAATATAACCATTTATTTAGTTATTTTCAACTATTGCATTGACGTGAGTAGTCCTATTTGCTTGTTAATTAAATTAGCACACTTGAAACCACATTATTACAGTTTTATTTAAAGCTAGCCAAGAAACCACATAAACAAATGTAAATAAATTTTTAGTTACATTTTGCTAAATACTACCCAAAGGGTTAAAGATACATGGTCAAAAAGTTTATCCTTGACTGAAGAGCAGTATTTTTTTTTTTTAAAAACTTTACGAGATGATTTATGGTTTAAAAATTATTTTAAAGGGTAATTTACACATTCTGATGGATTTTAAAAAAGTGTTGAATACACCAAATGCAAATGGATTACTTACCTAAAAAAAAGGAAATGAAATAAAAAATAAAACTATCTCAAAAACAAAGTATTTGTGATTTGTTATGTTTGTGTTCATATTAACTTGTTTTCTTATTTATGAATAAAAAACTACAAGTAGAATTGTATTGGTGGCATATTGCAACAACTTGTAACGTTCAAAGTTTGTCATTACAATGAATCAATTAAATAGAGAATATTTAAATTGGCTGCAATAATGTTGGAATAACAAGAATTTAAAGAAGAAAATATCTTTCTCTAGAAAATTTTAAGATTAATTTAATATGGTTTTAGTGTGTCTGATGCAGAATGTAATTTATTATTTAAAATATACCCCCACAGTTCTGAAGTCCATGAATCTTAAATTACTATGAATGTTGTATTTCAGAGATATAAACCAAACCCACTTTGTTATTTTTAATAGAATATCTTGTATATTGTTACATCTACTATACATATTATTTACTATATTACACATTATATCTGTTAGAGTTTAATGAGACTATTTCTATTACATTGACAATTTATTGATGAATAAGTTGACGAAGTTCTTCATGAATTAATTCACGAATTTATTGATAAACAGTGTGGTTTTACAGTGCTGCAGACTTTGTCAAGTTTTTTGACGCATGAATCACCTTTCCACTCATAATTGTAGTGATACAACAGCGGTACCATTCTGACACATATTATATAAATATTAGTGTTTGTAAGTAACAAATCAGTAAAAACAATGCAAAACTAGTACGACGCCTCACAATTATTTACATATTCCAATAACATAACCTCATTACTGATCTGAGGCTGGAAATCTGTTGGGTTGGTACTTCCGAACTTCAGGAAGAAATTGACGAAAATTAGAACATGCTCTAATTCGTCAAGAACTTGACAGCAGATTTGGTACATTACACATGTCCAATTTCTTGATGAAGCGACTTCATGAATTAATTGATCAATAAATTTTCAATAATAATACTTTTATTTTTACCACTGACAAGTTTTATTTTGCTGCACACCGAAAGCAACCCTCAAGTGGTGACCAAGATGTGATTGTTTCACCCGACATGATTGTTTCAACCGATGTGATTGTTTCAACTGACGTGATCATTCAATCGTCATTCAGTGAAAGTACGCAATTTTTTTGTGAAATTAGAGCTTAAAATGGGTCACTTGCGGACATGTGTACTCACACAATAAAGAAGTAAATTGTCTAGTTTTATTGAAAAATCTGTTTTATTTTGTATAGAATGTTTCTTATAATCTTTGTTTCTTTTTGTAGAACACTTTTTGATTTGATATTTTTGTTTAATAGGAAGTTTCTTTTATATGTACTATATAATAAAATTATTTAAATGGTAGTAACTTGTATATATACATATTATATATTTTTTTTAAGGGAGCAAGCAAATATTTGCTTCAGGTGCTAGCCCTGTGTATCTCTAAAATACAACATTCACTTGGTTTGAAATCAGAAAAATAATTCCTGAAATTTTAGTAGTCGCAATATTTCCTGAAATACTAAAGTAAAAGTGATACGAAGATATAATGTTAGTTGAATAACCCTGTACAAAGTAAATCAACTTAATTATTTTTTTTTTTCTTCGACTGAATGAACATTTATAATTTCTAAAAAGATTAAAATTACATTTTGTTATATGTGGATGAAAATATGTAGGTAAACATTTTCTTACCTTCTAAGCAATGCACATATTTATTAAAATCACCAATAGATTTTAAATCCCTATCTACTTTTTCAGCATATAGCCCATTCAAATATTTGAGCATAAGTCCAATTGTTTCTGCACAGGATTTGTAAGTAGACTTCTTAGAAGAATTAAGTTTTTTTAATAAAACTGTAATAAAACCTTCTGTTTTATTATCTTGCCATGGTTCTAGTTTATTAACAAGAAAAATTGATGACAAATGAATTCCGATTTCACATTTACTTTCAGATGACAAAATCTCAAGCAGCTTAATGCTAGGTACTTCAATATGAGTTTTCCAAGACTCCACAATTAATTTTATCAGGTCTAAATTATATTTGAATACATCTGTTCTTTCACTATTTATATTTGTTATTAAGAATAATAACATTTCAGTAGCAAGCTTACATTCCCTTTCATTGGGTTTTAATATATTTGATGACCATTTAGCCAAAATGCAAACCTAAAATAAATATATTTCCAATATGTATCATAGAGTAAAAAAGAAATACTTACAACATCGATTACGAAATAGTTCAAATTGTCTCCAGCACATTTATCAACAACAAATTGTAGCAGTGGTTCCAAAAACCATTGGGAATAACTATTGAAAATATGAATCATATTGTCTATAACTTTTACCAAAAACAATTTTATATTTTTATGATTGTCATTAGCCAATAGGATAGTACGTATACCTGAAAGCAATATAACCAAAGTAGTAAATTTAATAAAGCAATACATTTTCATTTGCACTAATCCAAGTTCAACCAATTTTTACTCTTTGAACCACAAGATTGCTCTGAATTTTGCACAAGGGCTTCTTTCCTGTTCTTTTTTTTTAATTTTTTCGACTATTTCGGATTTTAATGAAGTAGACAAGTTAAATATTACATTTATTTTATTAATAATAAAAAAAAATAATACAATATGTATTATTAAGCAACAAATTGGCAATAATAAAAAATATACTAATACTAAATGTAATAATAAATAAATATATAGTATAATTATTTTTTGTGTAAGCAAGGCAATAAAAATGCAGGTTTCTTCACATCCCTTTTACTTCACGTTTGCTCATTAATTATGTCCAATCATAGAGGATGTGAAGTAATTGAATCAGTAAAGCATTTATGAACACAAAATATGACATCTAAAAAGTGACACTTCAACGATTTTACAAAAATGTGACCGTGTAGCATCATTGAAACATTTATGAATGTAAAATAATGTGACATTTAAAAATGACACTTTTCATCCAGAACAATCCGCGATAATTTTTAAGATGAAAGCACACCAAGCGGCGAATGCAGTAAGCTCCGAGACAAGGTAATTTTGACATTGCCGTTCGTGTTTACACATTCATTTGAACAACATTTGTCTTATTTGCCATTATTATTAGTAATTTTGTTATCAAATCAGAAATTTATATTATGTCTGCAAACTAGTGCCCTTACTTACTAACAACCCTTATGAAATAAAAATCGGCAATAATATTTTGAAAATTTCTTCAATGGTTTGATGAAAACTTAATTCTGGATTTTTCTTGGACCATGAAGAACAACCTTGAACTGAACAACAATAGTTTGACAGTTTCTTCTTTCTATCCATAATTGCTGAAATTTTCCTCATGCTATTTTCTTAAAATAACAGTGGTCAAAAAACGAACACTAAACACAGTTTTAAATAAAATACAAAACGAAATGTCACACACAGAAGAAATGTTTACCTTGTTTCGCTAGTATCACTTGTCACCGCCAGAGGGCGAGCTCTTAGCTGCATTCGCGAATAGTCAGAAATAATATACCAGTCAAATTTGATTTTTGGAGTGATCGATAGATGGCAGGTTGGTAAATGGATTTTAACAGAATATCACTGCAATGGTTCACACTTTGTGTTGATATACTTCCAGATACATGAATTTTGGCAAGTGGACACCCTTAACACCACTGTGCAAAATTTAAGGGCCCTACATACTACACTGCTCATTGAGCTTGCTAAACTGAGAGCATACATAAACGAAGCCACTTGTGCGGTACATTTATCTACAATGACTGATAATGTGGATGCATTTCTAGTGCGTGCATAGCTCAGATCGGTGCAGGCAGACTGTGTGTGTAGGGTCCAGAAAAGAAATTTATGGTTCATTTCTCAGTATCTTATGCCTCAATGAGTTAAATCAATATTCACTACATATGTACATGTAAATAATGGGAATTAAATTTGATGTCAGCATTCAAGAGAGTGAAATTAATACATTCGATGGTTTTTATGTTTAAGAAATTAATAAAATTACTAGTAAAGCAAAATTATATGTTAATAATTGACTTCCTTATGCTTAGTTTCATTATCTACCAGTATTTATCAAACCTTTTATATCCATACAAAGCAACAAGACGTTAAAAATTACACTGGTTGAAAAATATTTATGTATATAGTTATTTTATTAATTATTATTCAACTTAGGTTTACACAGACTGGATAATCCACCACACTGTTGCAACAAATGAAATATCAAATATAGATACAATAAAAATACTGACATAAACAGAGTTGACTCTCAGCTGTCAAAAATATCTTGACGTAGCAAATTTTAGATGCAATATTATCACTTCCATTTGATTTTGTTGAAATTATTTTATTTGTACATTTCATAATATTTTTACAGTCCAAAATAACAATTAGTCATTAGAGCCATCACATTATTTTCTGTATATAGTAAATACTGAATTTTAAACTCCTAAACTATGTATTATAGTTTTACCATAAAAAAATTTTAGATACTGAAGTTTAAATATTTTTTAAAACTAAGACTTCTTTTATTACTGTTATAGTTGTTTTACAACTTACCCTTCATCCAGTTTGGTAATGTAGCTTCTTCATCATCTAAATTTGGCAAATCATTTATGCCAGTATCAAAAATGTGTTGTATCAATCCACAAATAGTCGCCATGCATTCGTGATTATTGATTTCTACGGCATCAAGTTGAATTTCATTTTGGTAATGAAGGGAATCATTACCGGATTGTTCATTATGTATTTTCTCATTTCTTAGAGTAGTGTTAGTGAAATCGAAATTTGTTACATCTTCGCTCAACGAACTGCTGAATAATTTTTGTGATTCAATATATTTCAATGATTTACTTTTATATTCATCCTGCCTCTGCTGTGCCCTTAGTTCATCTCTTATATTAATAATTACTTTTCTTTGAGAAGGAATGGTGTCAAATAAAATCGGAAACTGATAAGCAATGCTAGTATCTACAATACCGCTCCATAAAATTTCTTTGTCGTTTTCATAGCGTGCAAATAATTTTTCATAAAATTGTGGTGATTTTACCGAGTTGCTTATTATGGATGCTAAAGCATTATAAGCATGGCACTTATATAATCTAAGCATCTCATTGGTCGCAGCAGAATGCTTTTTAAAAGCCTCTAAACTGAATTTAAGAAACAAAATCGGCAACTTTTGGTTATTTGCAGCATTTGATATTGAACAATCAGTTCGCTGAGCAGTTCCTATGGGTATTCTTAAAAATAATACTTCAATGAGTACAAAATTAAGTATATTTGTTTCCAAATCATCAGTATTCCTCAATGTGGCAATAATATCATTTATAAATTCTTCGAAAAATCTTTCAAAAGCAGACATATGGCAAGTTTGAAACAAAGGAGGTATTATACTCTTTATAATCTTATATCTACTTTGAAAATTTGTTTCTGTATCTTTTGATACCTCATAAATTGTTCTCAAAGAGATCTCTTGTGTATGGACACCAACGTTTCTAATAAATTGATTCAATAATGTTGCTACATCTAGATCAGTAGTTAATTTTCCATACAATGTAACAAGAAGCTTTAAAATTGTATTGGATTTTAAAACAGGTATACTATTTAGCATTTTGTCAAATGAAAAATTTATGTTGGTCGTTTCGATGGAGATGATCTTATCACATAAACCTAACAGTGCACTTTCTAAATCAGTCCTGTAATGGAAATTAATAAATAATAATTAATTAACTGCAAATATAAATATTACTCACCCTGACTGAAGGTTATTGTTATCATCTACTGTGTTTACCAATAAATTAAATATTTGTAATTTGCTATTCAAATCCTGTTCTTGCTTCAGCAGTTTAATCAACCAATTGTTAAGTTGGCCAACATCGTGAAATTTACAGATCACAATAAATAATTTGATATATTCAAGTCCTAACTGAGTATATTCTGTTTTTGAATTAAATAAATGCTCAAAAGTGTTCCATTTACTCAATAACTCCTTCGACATATCTTCATAGTAATGTTCGTAGTTTTTGTTTTTAATAATATAAACTAAAATAAATATCACTAGTTCAACTGTCAGTATTAAATTTCCAGCTTCTATTGACACTTTCAAAAAAGTGTCAAAATTCTTTAAAATGACAGGTATGACAACTCCTCCGAATGTGTTCAAGAGAAAAATGCCAAATTTAATTTCCCTGTTAAACTCCATACTTTGAACTGAGTAAGATCGATGTAAATGATTTATAAGGTCTTTAAGTTCATCCATATTTGTCAATGACAATTCAAAAATGGAGCAGCAATATTCAACTGTAGTTTCTTGAAAATCATTTATAAATAGCTCGTTGTCATCATTCAGAGTACCATAAAAGCTCAGCATGAGTTTATTAATTAGACCTTTCACATATTTTTCGATTTTCAGGCACTTATTAATATTTGTGGAATTTAATAATAGGAGTCCATTCATAATATTTCTTTGAAGAAGAGTAACATTTCTCTTTAAATCTATATTTGAAGTGTAATTTTGTTCGACAAAATCAGACAGCATTTCAACTAATACAGAAATATTATCTCCCGATATTTTTCTTGGAAGATTATTTAACAAGATTTTTAACATTTCCAAATATTTTGGTTGTGACACTCTATCATCTAAGCCCAATTGTTGAGGATAAAATATGGTATTCAAAATAAGTTCCCAAATTTCTTTATTCCACAATACACTGGATTTTTTTAATAAAATTTCATCGGAAAGTACTGCATTAAAAACTTTTAATATCGATAGAAGACATGCACACTTTTGCTTTTTAAATTGTTCCATATCAAGAGTTGTAAATGTCCACGTTTTATGTTCTATGAGGTTTAATGCTTCTGCCATATCAGCTTTTTGCAAATGTTTAAGAAAGTAGTTGACAGCAGTAAATGTTTTATTATTTTTAAAATTAATATCACATAAATTATTCTTTATAACAAAGTTGTAGCCATCTAGTGCACAACAAAAACCTTGCATCCATTTCAACAAAACAGAACAATCTTCTGAGTGGGAAATTCCTCTAAGTGTTGGATTTGTTTCTAAGGAATTCTCATAAATGCTATTAATAAAATCAGAATTGAAAATTTCATTAACAAAAGCTTTTAAATTTACTTTCTTGTTTGATGTTAAAGGAGCAACAGCAATAAATAAATCCATACTAGCTCTTCTACAGTGCATGCTATTATTTCCAGTTTGCTTGAGTAACCAAACAGCAAGATCTTTTAAAGTATCTCCACTTACATCACTTGGAACCCTGCGTTTATCATTACTTACTCTAAAAATGTGTGCTTTTTCTATTAGAACTCTTTCCAAATGACTAAGAGCATTATTAATCTGCATTGTAGTGTTCCCATCTTCAAATAAATTATTTTCGGTGAGAGACAAGCTGTTGATGAATATATGTAGAATTTCAAACCAAAAAATATTGATAAGGGAATCTTCCTCTCTCATTTCTCTGTAAATATTATTAAAAATTAATGCAGCTCCTAATTTTTTTAAAGGATCAGTATGACTGCTGAAGAATCTCATCTTTTTTATTAAAATCTTAATATTGATTGGATCTACAGAAAGAACTTCTTCACTCATTTGCTTTATAGTCCATTTTACAAATTCTTTAATGCATTTACCAGAGAAGTCCCTTAAGCAAGAATTGGTAGGATGAGTAATACTTTCCTACAAAATTAAGCAAAACTGTAGGTTTTCAATCTTTCTTTAATTTGTTGTAATGAAATTGTTGATATACAGATGTGTACAGTGTAAGTGCCATATGTTTTCTAGGTAGGTCTTGAATCTAAGTGTTTTTGAGAAAAAGAAACAGGTTATACAGAACTTTGGGGTTCAAAATCAAAGTTTGGGAAATAAAATAGTAATACAGTAACAACTCACTGTTTTCTTTTAAACATAATAATAATAATTTACTTCTCCATATATCAACACATTTTCTATTGTTTTTACTGTTTTCTAATTAATGTTCTCATTGCAAATTGTTGATACACAGTAGTTGATGTTCAATTGTTGCCATTAGCTGTCAGTTGATTACAAAGTGATTGTTAGTTATATCTTTTGGTTACATATATTAGGATTATTAAGGTAATTATATCCCAAACACAGAGTTCAAGTAGAAAACTTTCAAGCAAGTGTCATATCTGTGTCACATAGTTTCGACAACTGGCAACGTCATACAGATCGCAGCTGTGTGTGAGAAAGAGATCGATGGAAACTTATATTTACGGTGCATAAGGTTAAGTTAGGTTAGATTAGATTAGGTTAGTGTTAAATATAGTGGATGCATTACAATCGTTTGGTAAGTTTTAAAAAAATTTTGCAGGAATCGTCATTATTATTTGATTTATTATATTAGTTCCTTTAAACGAAAACCGCAAATTGAAATGAAAGGTTTTACTTCAAAATTTTGTAGAATGTTAGCACGTGAGTAAATTAATGTTTCTTCAATGTACGACATTGCTGCGTTCCATTTATGTGAATAATCATACGAAAAATTTAAAAGTTTGAGTATTAATATCTTTAATCCTTTCCAGATTGTTATATATAATATAACGTATTTCTATACAAATTAGTCTTGCTTAAAGTTTGGGCAGTTACTCGAATGGTGTTATTTAACTACAGCAACATTTTCATCGTAACGACAACATTTTTCAAGGCGGCGCCATTAAGCCTATGTTAAACATAGTCAACTTTGATTAAGCATAACTCAGAAACTATGTGGTAAAATATGCTGAAATTTTGCAAAATGATCTATCAGGTGTAATATTTACAATTATTATTGTATCCCTACCATGTCTAATGAGTGCAAGAGTTGACAGTAGCAGATTATCTGCACAGACAGAATTTCAGTACTTAATTGATTTTTAAAAGCATCACAATAATTTTATCAACAACATTCTACTCAGTTGGGTTTTGTTTAATAAGTGATTAAATTTTTGATTTTCATAATATTTATTGCCTGATGATAATACGCATCAGATTATGCATTTTTAAAACAAATTTTCTATTACCATGTAGCAACAAATAATTTATTTGGACAATTTATTCTGCTCAACAAATTATTTAAGTGGGCCATTTATTCTTCGTGATTAATGAGACAAAACTATTTGAAATTTTTAATTACTAATCCATTGAGTATTTGCATACATACTGGATGGGTAGAAATAAATAATATCGCAGGCCCAATGCCTAAATATGAATCCTTTAGACTTTTATTTGTAGCATGTATGAAACACTTAGATTTATAGAGTATGTGTTTCTCAGTTTCATTTAATGCAAACTTATACTGCAAATGTACCTATATCACATAAATATTTGTGTGATATATTTTGCGGTATTCTGTTGCACATTGAACATATGACACTTATACCGCAGACACCCTGAATATCTATTTTTTAACAAAATTAAAAGACATATCAGTAAAAATCAATTAATTTTATAGTGAAATTTCAATACAGGTAATTTTTTTCCAAATATTACTAAATTAATAATTAATTTTTCAACAAAATTAATGTGAATTAAATATTTTTTTACATTCATAGTGAAGCATTGAAGGATAAAGAAATTTCTACTAAATACATAAAAGATGGATCATTTTTCATTTCTCACCATCAGCATTTCGTAAACTGTAATCAATGTAAAGTAGATTAAATGGAAAATTGTGTTCCATCACTCATTAAGGAAAAACAAAGATATTCAAGACTGATTGAGAATTTTGATACACAAATAGAAAACAAAAATTTGGGATCACATAAGGGCATACAAGTAGAGTTGAAAGACAAAACAAAATTTATAGGTCCATAATTTTAAAATATCTGTAGACCCAATAAATTTTCATTTTTTATTTTTCCCAAAAAAAACTATATTTTTAAGAGTTTAAGTTTATCAATAATCTAGTATAGTGCCCATAAAAAAAATTCAGCATATCTCCAAAAATAGCCACTTATAAATTGAAATAAATGAAAAATGTTTCACCTTATAACGGGTGGGGCAAAAGTCCCGCTACCATTTTGATTGCGCGCCATCTTGGTTATGTGACGTTTAGCTCAGTTTAGCTTTAACCATTGTGTTGTGTAGATGTCCAAATTTTATAATGGATAAATATACGGCAAGGATAAGAATGGGAAGATAGTGGCAGGAGAAAACGAAATATTGAACAGGTGGAAAGAATATTTTGAAGAATTATTAAATGGAGATGAAACCGATGATACGGAAAGAGAAGAAAATAATAGCAACATAGATGGAGACAATATGGTGCCAGCGCCAAGTAAAGAGGAAATTAAAGATACTGTCAAAATTGAAAAATAATAAGAGTCCAGGAAGTGACAAATTAACAGCCGAACTATTTAAATATGGAGGACATGAACTAGCAGACCAATTACAGAAACTACTAGAAAGATGTTGGGTAAAGGAAGAACTGCCAAAGGAATGGACGGAAGCAGAAATTTGCCCTATCCATAAAAAAGGGAATAGAGGGGAATGCCAAAACTACAGAGGAATAGCATTGCTGAATGTAGCATATAAAATACTGGCCACTTGTATAAAAAACAAGTTGGTAAAGGAAGCGGAGGATAAAATTGGTGAATATCAGTGCGGGTTTAGACAAGGAAGAAGTACAGTAGACCAAGTTTTCACTCTGCGAGAAATTCAGGCTGAAAGCTTCGAATACGGTAAGCCAACAGTAGTTCTGTTTGTAGATTACCAACAAGCTTATGACAAAATAAAAAGAAGTGAGCTATATAAGGTCTTAGAGGAATTAGAAATCAGCAAGAAGATAAGGAACATGGTACGCCTAACATTGAAAAAGACAGAGAATAAAGTAAAAGTAAACAATAGATGCACGGAAGAGTTCGAAGTTAAAAACGGCGTCAGACAAGGGGATCC